CTGTGGATGGGGACAGGTGACATGCACAGCACCAGCTGCCTGTGCTGAAAGTCCTGCAGGGCATTTGTTTGGATTTTTCTTTGAAGAATGGGTTTAATACAGAGTAAATTGAGTTTAACCTTTGCTGTAAATGGAGGCATTTGTTTCTTGGAGTCTCAGGGGAGTTTTCATTAATTATTCTGGGCCCGATGGCCAAGTTGGAAAGAAATTTGTTTCCAAGGGAAAAGAAGCAGGGGAGCTTCATGTACAATAGAAAAAAGTAACTTACTTCAGGATTAGGGATCACAATGGGTTTTGTCACCTGAAGGGGTCTCCGAAAATTTTAGGTAACTTAGAAAGCTCCTGCAGAGACCTGAGGTGGGACCAAGCTCAGATAGGGACGGGCTGTTCCTGCATGGACCAGACTCAATCCACTCCTGCTCATGGTCCTCCAAGTCCCCAAAACCCAACAAGGTGCAGAAGCCTTCCTCCTGCCAGATGTCCTGGAGCTCCCCTCCAGCTCAGCCCAGAGCCTGGGGAAGAAGAGCCCCTTTCCCAGATTTCTCTTTTCTCCCAAGCAGTACTGAGGTCAAACTGAGTCCCACCGAGTGCTCCATGTTCACCTTCTGGTTTGCTCCAGCAAGGACTGGAGGTGTGAGGGCAGGGCACCAGTATGATGGGAAACACAAGGGCTCCTGCCAGAAACGTGCCTAGAACTCCTGGGAAGAGTTTCAGGAGGAGCTGTTGGACATGGTCAGCAGTTCTGGGAACAGATCTGTGGCTGTTGGCAAAGGCAGCACTTCAGCTAAAGCTTCTGTGAGTTACTGTCCGTGTCAAAGCCCTCACAAAAGATTTGGTGTTGGGAACTAAAGTGATTCCAAAATAAGTCTTTGAAAACAGCAAGAGCAGTGACAAAAGCCTGCTTGGGAAGGAGGCCTGCTCCGAGTTCAGACATTCCTGGGAGAAAGGCACAGAGGGAAGGGGAGAAGCTGTGGCTGTCCCATTCCTGGAAGTGTCCAAGGGCAGGCTGGACAGGGCTTGGAGGAACCTGGGATAGTGGAAGGTGTCCCTGCCCATGGCACGGGATAGAACTGGATGGGTTTTGAGGTTCCCTGTTATTACTGTTATTCCAGGGAAGTGGTGAAGGACAGAGCGTGTTCTCACCAACCACAGCCACCACAGACCTCGGGCTGCCGGGCAGGACACGCCCCTGTGGGAAACACAAAATGAGACCTAGGAGACCACATCCCATCTGAAAAGCAACAAGATCAAATCAAGTTCAATGAATGGGGACTTTTTTCTTTTTTGTGTTATCTGATTGCTTTTGCTTTTACTTTTTCTCTGCTTTTGCTTCCTTCCATGTTCATTCTCTTTTCTGCTCTGGCCACAGGCAGAAGCATCTAAATATGATGTCCTGGGATGCTTCTCTCTTCAGACAAATATTTGCTGTATTATGTCTTGTTCCTAAATTTTAAACCCAAACTTCCCATCTCCTCATCCAAAATGCTGTAGAAACAAGTTGAGAACTGGCTGTTTGGATGGAATCCCTCCCCAAAAGCAGCAGCACTGATTTGACACAGAGCCTGGGAACAGAAAACGCGACTTGGGGCTGGAACTGCTCTGTTTCTGCTCTTCCCCATGTGTCCAAGTGAGAGAATTCCTTTTACGTTCATCTGTCCTCATGAAAGCCTCGAAGAGGAGAAGAGATAAATTATTAACATAATCTAAATATAATTTCTTCATTCTTACAGCCTTTGTGACACATTCTCTTGGGAAATATTCCCAACTGAAATGGAATTCTGCTCCGTTCCTGCAGATCTCACACTGCTCTTGTGAAACACATGAAGCCTTTTAAAGTCATTAATTACAGTGTCAATAATTGCGCCATGGTGAGAACTCAACAAGCATCTTGGAAACACAGGCAGACGTGGATATATTGGAAAAAAATAACCTTAACTGTTAAATTTTCCTACCCAAATTCTGCAGCTGGTCTTGATAAAGGTCTGTCAGGGTGAGAGGTGTGTGTAGATGTGGACTGGCCCTGCTCCGGTGGCAGGTGTTGACCCACAGATTGGTTGAAGACTCAGAGTTTGGGTTTAATAAAGCAGGAATATGACAAAAGAGGTGAAAAATGTGATTTGCAAGAGGGGGGAAATAAATTCTCAGTCACGCTAAAGAGCTAGAAATGATGGCTGAAAACCTGGGGAGGAAAACATTTCCAACCTCCCACCCTGCTCTGACATTCCAGGGCCCAGTTGGTGGGATGGGGACTGCCTGCAGTGACCTGGGGGGTGTTCAGAGACTGAGATGCCTTCACCTTTGTGGGTGCCAGGGAAGGGAAGCTCTGTGGGCCCAGAGCTGGGTTTGGCCATGGTGAAGTCATATCCCTGAGCCCAACAGAGCTCAGGGAGTGTTTGGACAGCACTCTCAGGGACAGGGTGGGATTGTTGGGGTGTCCTGTGCAGGGCCAGGAGCTGGACTGGATGATCCCTGTGGGTCCGTCCCTTCCGTGATTCTCTGAGATTGGCAGAGTGAGAGCTGCATCTCCAACTCCATTTCCCAACATCCGGCTCTTCAGCAAGACACGAGAGAGTCAATATTTTCCTGATGGGAGATGATAAAAGGGAGGAATAAAAATTGCATTTGTAAGTCAGCTCCTGCACATAACAGAGATAAAAGAATTACAGAGCACTTATGAGGCTCAAGCTCATTTTGGTGATTCATGGAGACGCGAGTGCAGGGCTTGGGAAGCTGTTCCAGTACCAAAGGGCATCTGCTGGCTGGAGTTAATGCCTTTGAGCCCACTAAATCCATAAATATGCAGGATATGAGCTGTCATTCCCAGCTTGTGCTCGGACACGGACCTTGCAGAAGCAGAGTGAGATGGAGCATCTTCATGATGTGTCCATCGAGGGGCAGCAGCAAAGCTGCCAAAGTGTGTGGCTGGCTCCAGGAACAGGAATTTTGTGCGGGATCACCCAACAGTTTTTGGGTAGACAAGTTTATCCACTGCTGACAAAGAGAGGACCTCAATTACAGCAACTTTCCTGTAAGTGAAAGCTGAAGTTTCTAAGAACTCTTCTGACTAATGTGGTTCAGCTCTTGGCTGGAAAACACAGAGCCCTTCATCAAAAGGCTGTGACTGCGAGAAATGCCAAAAAAAGCTCAAATCCAGGGAATCTGAGGCTGGGAGTGCAAGTTGACCCCAGCACTGCTGCCACTCTAACGGTGGGGCTGGAAGCCAGCTCTGCCTCTGTTTTAACTGGTCTTATCTCCAGGCTTAGTGCTGCTCCACTATTTTCCAGGAAAAAATGTATCTTTAGCCAATACAAGCGATCTGGGCCTCAACATAAAAAGAAATTCCCCTGCAAGCGCAGAATCCACAGCTGCAACATCACCCCGAGGATGAAATGTGCCCTTTTATCTTCACAAAGATGGAATATGGGAAATACAACCCAAAGCTGGGGTCAGAGGGAATGGATCCAGGAAAGTCATGAACAGAGATACAGAGAGAGATCCCAAAGAATTATCTCCTGCTCAGATGTATAGAATCCTACAGTCTCCTGAGTTGGAAGGGAGCAATCATCAAGTCCAACTCCTGGCCCTGCATAGGACACCCCAAAATCCCACCCTATCCCTGAAAGTGTTGTCCAAATGCTTCTTGAGCTCTGACAGGTTGGGGCCATGATATAAAATGTGAATAATCAGTGTATGATCAGCTGGGTGCATCTCCTACCACTGTAACCTCCCCATGAAGGGACCAGTTCCCAGCAGGTCCAACCTCAGAGGCAGCTTCAGGTCAATATTCTATGTGTCAAGAAAATCATGGGACAATTCATTGAGAATTTCACTGCTGGCAGTTTTATCTTTCCCCAAACAAATGGGATAAGGGAAATTCCCGTCAGCAGCAGGACAAGCTTTTCATTTCATGGGAGATGAGAGATTCTCCTGACAGAAACCAGACACTGCTGCCCTTCAGGAGCAGCCAAAGACCAACCAGCAGGCTCATGGCACTGCACAGGGGCTGCACTTCCCAGAAAAACACATGGATCTGAATAAGGACTTCCTGTGGATGGGCTTTATGAGCTGCTGACCTGGTATAACCAGTGACCCACCCTTGGGAGGGGGCAAGGGAAAAGGGGGAATGGCTTCCCACTGCCAGATGACAGGATTAGATGGGATATTGGGAAGAAATTCTGCCCTGTGAGGGTGGTCAGGCCCTGGCACAGGTTGCCCAGAGAAGCTGTGGCTGTTCCATCCCTGGAAGTGCCCAAGGCCAGGTTGGACAGGGTTTGGAGCAACCTGGGATAGTGGAAGGTTCCCTGCCCATGGCAGGGGGTGGGACTGGATGAGCTTTAAGGTCCCTTCCAACCCAAATCAGTGTGAAATGAGGTGGTTAGGTGTGTGAATACTTTCACCTCAGTTTTCTCAGGCTATCATCACTGTAGATAGTGAAGGCTATTTCTGTTTGTGTGGTGATACACAAACACCCTTCCTGCCTCAGCTCCAGCCCTCTTTCCTCTCCTGCTCATGAGCTGGGCTGTCCCAGACCACATCTAAGGCAGCCTGGAATCAGCTGGTGAGTGACCATCACCCAACTCCCATTCCGTGTCAGCTCTCAATCTGAGACACAAAGCAAAAAGACACCCCAGAAAGTCCAATTTCTACTTAGTTTAGGAAAGCCAAACGTTCTCCCCAAGAAGGATCTGTGCAGTCAGTCTTGTAACAAAAACCTGCAGCACTTGTGCCTCTTTGGTGGCTCCTCAGCAGAGTCACCTGGGGGGACGTGGGAAGGGACGCCTTGTCCCACCCAGCCCCTCTGAGCATTCCCTGCCCGAACACTGCAATTTGCAGGAGAAGTTGTTCTATATCCAAATTTACATCTCTTTTTCTTGACAGAAGTAACACCATCAATGACATATTCTTCCCATAGGAAAATTTAAACAGTGTGAGGGTAATTCCATCACTTGATTTTGAACACAAGTAGCACATGGAAATGGAAGAATAAGGAAGACATCAAGGAAATTCAAAGCATATTTTAATTAAAATTGTCCCAATCATTCCCATAGCTAACAGCTATTAGAAAGCTATTATTTACCATTTCCGAAGCTTCATTTTCAATTCTGCATTAAAAAATCCAGAGGACAAAAGCTTTAAAGCACATTTCCAACCTAATTAAAATAAATCTAAGGCCAATCAGGTTTTTAAGCTGGGCTGTTGGGTTGAAAGAGTAGAAAAGAATGAACTGTGCATCCCACCAGCAGCATCAGGAACCACCCCCCTGTGACCTCAAACCACCAGAGTAAACACTGACCTCTGGGATAACATTCCTGAGTGAGCCCATGGCTGCTCTCACACACAATTACTGACTCCAGAAATCCCAACGGATTTCCCGACAACAGACCTTGACCCACAAGAGAGCCCAGGCTGTGCCACACACGGTCCATGCACAGCCAGGCAGCAGCAGAACCAACCTAACAGCACCTGGGAGACTCCCCAGGAATCCAGACTGAAATTCTAAAGGCAAATCAAAGGAGCAATTTGGTTTTCCATGTTCTCTTCCATAGTCTTTGCAACATCCAATTCCAAGTTCCTTCTTTAAGTCTCAAGGCTTATGCAAACTGCAAGGAGAAGGGAGAAGAGAGATAATTATGTTCTGCCCCTCATTAACCACAAACTTTTCTTCGTCTTTTCATAAATAAGACACATTTTGGTATTAGATTATTTTCATGCTGTGCTGGCAAATAGAAATATGTGTAGTTAATGATGATAACTTTTCCTATCATTAAAAAAAGCAAACAAAAAAACCTGAAAAAAAACCAGACAAAAACCATTAAAAACCAACCCTACACACACAAAAAATCCATTGTCTGAAATCCAGACCCGTGGGAGAGGAGCATCAGGACTGAAACAGCAGTACTTGAATGTTGGACTTACTGTTTGAGAGAAGCTCTTAAAGCTCCTTAATATATTTCAACCGTGCCAGGAAAAATCTGAAACAAACACTGAGCCTTTCTAGGCCCATGTGAGAGTCTCCCTGAGCCTGACTTTAGCAGGGATATTCCCATGACTCCAACATCTGTTGTACCTGAATCCGTGTCAGTTGAGACTGTGATTGACCAGGACACAAACCTTGTACAGGGAATCCTGACAGGGAGAGCTTTAAATCCAAGGTCTGATTAAGAGAGGCTTAAAATGTAAATGAGGTAAGAATTCCCAGGTGTCAGTCAGGGAGACATGGAATGATTTTTAGGGGGTAAGAACACACTCACCGCAGCCTTCAGGGCCTGGTCCAGGTCAGCCAGTAAATCCTCCTCATCCTCCAAACCCACAGAGAGGCGAATCAACGTGTCAGTGATGCCAAGAGCTTCCCTGTCCTCCTGGGGCACTGAGGCATGGGTCATGATGGCCCTGCAGGGACAAAAACCAGCCTGTTTCCTAAGAACTTTGCACTTTCTTCAGTAAAGCCCAAATCAGTTGGTTTTCTGCCAGCACCCCCAAAGTTTCATGAGGTTTTACACCTTTCTTGTGCCACTCGCTGCTGAACCCACAGATGGAAAGAGCTCGTGGGTGGCAGTGACTGTAAATGATGTGAAGTCAGGGACTTTAGAGTTTCAGGAAAGCATTTCCAAGCTACAAATTATTAATAAGAAGTGGATACTTAAAAATCTGGGGCTAAAAAAGGAGAAAATCCCATTCCTCTTCCTTCCAGAGTTTTTTAGGGTTTTTTTTTTGCTCTAAAAGCTGTGCTCTGCATGTGGAGAAGCAGCTGCAGTGAATAACCTCCAGTATAAAATCTTCTGTTTTCTATTAACTTCTGGTTTCTTCTTGTCAAACCGTACCAAATTGCACTGAAGGGTTTACTCTCTGCAGGTTTGGAGGATATGGGCAAGAGGGTATTTCCCCCTGTGGTCCACCAACCAACTCACAATTTCTTCCAGCTGCTGGAGTGGTTTAAGATCTGCTGTTACTCTAAAATGAATACCTGAAATGCTTTAGCACACAAAAAGCCATAAATTCCCACGTATCTTTTTGAAAAGCAAATTGGCTTTGAGTAAAAGAATCTAATTCCATATAAATCCTCTTTTTAGCCTTTTAACCTTAACAGGAGTGGCCAAGTGTTACTAAGATTCCCGCAAAAAATCCTGACAGGGAGAACAAGGCAGTTGGGTGCACGTACTGACCACGCCCTCTTGTGTGAGCAGGGAGCATGGCACAGCTCTTCCCTCCATCCCATCTGCTCCACAATTTCAACAAGCACTGAGTCCTTGTATTGTTTTCAGAGCAACAAATTCCTAAATCCCAGTCTTCCAGTCAAAATTCCTCCATCGCTGCACTCTCACATTCACAGAATTCACTCGCTCCGCTAGGTTTGTGCTACACAACACACCATTCTTTTCATTACATGGAAAACAGCTTGGCCTTGGGGACTGGAAAACTGTAGAACTCCCACTAATATTTTGGGGACTCTGCAGCCTTTTTGGACTTATTGAAGATAGAAGAATGACTTACGGGTGCTCTGCCAGGCTCTCGTAGCCCCCCAGACTCTCAGCCAGGGCGAACACCTACGAGAAAGATGGAACACAAGTTAACAAGGGTGAAAGGGAAGTGTGAAAGACAGAAGTTAATCCAAGTTTCCATGGATGCATGGAAAGAGATGTCAAAGAATCATGGAATATCCTGAGCTGGAAGGGACCCACAAGAATCATGAGTCCAACTCCTGGCCCTGCAGACACCCCAACAATCCCACCCTGTCCCTGAGAGCGTTGTCCATATGCTCCTTGAGCTCTGGCAGCCTTGGGGCAGTGACCACTTCAAGGACATTAAGGAAAAAGAATGATTAGGGTTTTTTTTCCCTCTGTTTTTCTATAATAACTTTTATTTTATAAATGGTATTAGTGTAATTCAGGAATAAAGTGTACATTTAGCAAGTAAGAGCTACTAAGATTTAAAACAGACTCATTCTGCCCCATTCTTGGAAGTGTCCAAGGCCAGGTTGGATGGGACTTGGAGCAACCTAGTATAGTGGAAGGTGTCCCTGACCGTGGCAGGGGGTGAAAGAAGATGGGCTTTAAGGTCCCTTCCAACCCAAACCAGTGTGGGATTCTATGATTCTCTGGAATGACTTTACTTTCGGACAAGCCTAGTGACAAACTGATGGTCATCCAAGTCAAAGGCCTTGGATAACTGTAAGGAACTACTTCTCCTGGGACACATTCCCTGATATTTCTAGTCAAAGCTGGCAGATCTCCTGTGCCAGGATTCAGTCCTTTCTCTCAGGTTAAAGGATATTTTGTGGGCAAATCATATTTTTAGTAAATTCATTTTCAGTGGGTGACATCAGCTGGCAAGTTAGAGAGGGGGCAGCAGGAAGTTCTAATTCACCTCTGCCAGTTCTTACTGTTTTTTCCAAGAACAAACCAGCAAAACCACCAGAGCAGGATGCAAATTAACCAGAGATCAAGACTAGAAACACATCAAAGGGCACAGGCAGAATGAACACATGGCAAAACAGCAAAAACCTGTTATTTGGGTCAACTAAACAACTAACCATTCCCTAAACTGAGGGACTCCCTCTGTGCTTCATGATTCAGATCTCCTCAATGTTTCATTTTCCTGATGAGCACTTTGAAATATTCCAGCAGTATTACACCAGCCACATCTCCTCTGCTTCCAGCTCCTGCACGTATTTTGGCAAAAGGCCCTTTGTCAGCAGCATTTCCTGGGCTAACCTGGACACACCTCACCTGCTGTGCAAACAAACCCTTCCAAGGAGCTCAGGCATCTTTTGTTTCCCCTCATCAGCCTTACAGTTACAAATTATCTATTATTTAGAGAGGGTCACACCCAAAAGACTTGAGGAGCTTTGCAAGTACAGACAAAGACTCTCCCCTCACCAAGAAAAGCCACTTCTACCATCCCCCTCAGCAGGACAGTCCCTCGTCCCTCCGAGGAGGTGTTTTATTGCCATTTACCTTTAGGCTCTTGAGGAAGGCAGTAGCATGTTTGAGGTTCCCTTTGATGTAGAAGGTGATCATGCCAGGACAGCCCGTGCACTGGCGCTTCGTCAGCTCATGCTGAGGGTGGGAAGGCAGCCCTGGAATTTAGGGAGTCACTTGGAGTGAATGACCCTTCTTCCAAGGAGGAGCAGCTTCCCCCTCAGCCTCTGCCAAGGTGGACACCCAGCCTGAGTCACCACACGAAGGTGACTGTGACACGGAGCATCACAGCACCCAAACCCACCCTCTGGGACACTTCCTGCTCAGAGGTCCTGCCAACCCACCTGGGAAAATGACCTTCTCCACGCAGGAATGTGACTCGAGGAACCGGGCGACGGCCATGGCGTTGTGGAAGTGCTGCTTCATGCGGATGTGCAGCGTCTTCAGCCCCCGGTTGCACAGGTAGCAGTCAAAGGCAGACGGGACGGCCCCGAGAGCTGGGGAAGGGAGACAAAATTCCTCAGAAAAAAGGGGTGGGTCTGGGTTTTAGTACAATTGATATAGACCTAATCTCCAACATTTCTAAAGCTGGAACGAGACAAAGTGGGAAGACACCTGCTGCAATCTGCCCTCCTCATCTCACACATGTGGGGAGCCAATTAATGAGGTGAATTAACAAGCTGAAGCCTCAAGGGTTCTATTTATTAGACATAATATACCTTTATTGTCTCTGCTGTAGGCAGAGGGCAGGCACAATCCCATACAGAAATTTATTGCTGACAATTAAGAGGCAGTAAAATGCTTGAAATCAACATATATAAGAAAATTCTGATGCGTGAGTTTAAAAAACCCCTTTAACTGCAGGTGTGCATGAGGCAGACAGACCTTGATGCTTCCAGGATGTGCCTCATCAGCTCTCTAGGAGCAGTTAGGAAGTGAAGACCAGTGTCATTAATTTTATTAAGTTTATTTTATTAATTTAAACATTATTTTAATTGTATTGAAATTTATTAAAATAAAAATTTATTTTATTATTCCCATTTCTGCCCATTTGAGCTAGGCAGAATTCCCACTTGTGTGCATTCCCACGCTCCCCAGTAGGAGCTGGTTTGTGACCAGGATTCATTTCCAGGTATTTCCTGTATCAGTACTCACAGTTCTGCAGGAATTTGAGCCTCTCATAGAGATCATCCCGGTTCACTGAGACCAGCCCCATTACCACATCACTGTGCCCTACAAATGAAGACAAGAAGAGGATCAGCCATTCCATCTGCTCCAGAGTTCTGCCTCAACCTCCCAGTTTCTCCATTCTGGTGTTACTAAAACCCCAGTTCTGCAAGGCCTTGGGTTGTTCCTGAAGCTCTAGCCCTTCTTCCCGTGCAGGCAGAAATCATAAGGCAGATTTGGGCTGTTTCTAAAGCTCTGCTCAGCACTGTCTCCTGCACTGGCACTTCCCAGGACACCTCTGCCACCTGCCAGGACACTGCAGGAACCAGGAATGTCCTCGTGAGCAACTCCTGGTTCAGGGAGAGTAGCTCCCAACCCACCTCCTCCTGAAGGCACCTGCTTTGTTGTAGCCAAATTAAAACCAGCATGGCTTTATAATAATAATAATTCATACTATCAAAGAATTCCAGACTGGTTTGAGTTGGAAGGAACCTTAAATATCTCATCCCACCCCCTGCCATGGGCAGGGACACCTTCCACTACCCCAGGTTACTCCAAGCCCCATCCAACCCGGCCTTGGACACTTCCAAGTATGAGGCAGCCACAGCTTCTCTGGGCAACCTGTGCCAGGACCTCACCACCCTCACAGGAAGGATTTCTTCCCAAAATTCCATCCAATCCTGCAATAAGTAGGTGTTGAACTCCCACACTCACCGTTCATGTATTTGGTCGCAGAACTCATACAAATATCAGCCCCCAGGGACAGAGGACGCTGAAACAAAATTAAATTCACAGTTCTGATTAAAGCCTGTGTGCAGCCAGGTTCACTTTCAGCTATCCAAAAAGGCTGGGAGCTTACACAGCAAAAAATAAGTGGAGAAACTAATGAAAAACCCACAAAAATTTAACACCTTAAACACAAAAACCTGAGAATGATGACTGAATATGTGATAAAACCAAAAGCACAGGGAGACACTGAATTCAAGATAAGCACAGTCGAATGTGATTTAACAGCACTGGTCCAATTCCCACTGGCTTCAGGGAGAGAAGTGGTTGAATCCATCTAACATATAGTTCATATTTGGAAAAAATAGTTCTATTGCTTAGTTGAGGCAAGAAAAATAATGGTATTTACTCTCCAAAGTGGATTTCCTTAGAAAATTAAGACTTCAACACAGTCTGAAAAGCAAAAAAATTGCTTTCCAGGTATTGGTGATACTGCACTGAAAGAACTGAAAACAGGAGGAAAGGAGGTTTTCTTTGCCAGCTGTTTTCCCTCACCTCCCAGCTTTGTTCCCAGAAGCCTTTTGAAGGTGAGATGAAGCAAGAGGTTGATGGGCAAGAGGTCGTGAACAATGTGATCCTTTTAATTAATCACTGAGTGATGTTGCACGTAATATAAACATATTCCAAAGAGCCAAGAGCATCAGGGTGTTAAAAGGTAACAAAGCAAGCAGGTCTAAAGGCTGCTGAGCCAGACTGAACATGGACATCCATCCAAGGAACATGGATAACACTCACTCCCCATGCACAGCCAGAACCACCATGGAAAAATGCCTTTTACGCTCAATATTTACATACAAATCACTCTGAAATTCTCATTTGCTTAGCACCAGCTGACGTCTGGAGGGGTTTAACAACACTACCTACTCCCCTCACCAAAATTAATCATTAGCACTGGCACCAGGCTGACCCAGACTCATTAACCAGCCCAGTTCACTTTGTGCCTTTCACACCCCCATTTCTGAAGTAAATTGTGAATTTTGAACTGAGTAACACATTGCAGGGGGGGAATCACCAAGGTTCTGGAATCTCCCAGACCAACTGCAGTGCTGCTGGAGCTAAGCATTAACACTTTGTGCAGAACTCCCTAAATTCATGAAGATCTCAGTACCCTGAACAAAACCAGACACTTTCCCTTTGCACTTTGCAAAAAGGGTGACTTTAGATCTAAAACACAAGGGATTGGCTTGGTCTCCTGGGAAATTTATATGCATATTTCCATTCCATATGAAGATCAACAAAACTTGGAAGTTTATTATTCTGAAACACTTTCAGAACTTAAGAAAATCTCTTCACTTCGTGTTATCCATATAAAAAAGTTATGTCAGTTGTTATAGACAAAGTTTTGAACTTCTAAGCCACATACCAAAATATTGAAGAAATATTGAATGTCTCAAAGGAAGATTGAACAAAGTTTGCTCGTTTTAACTTTTTCTTTCACTACTTTTTCTAGACTACCAAGTGGTTCAGAGCAGTGCTTAAACAGCACATACAAAAGAATTGCTATAAAAACGCCAAAGTCAGGAAACAGGACACTTTTTAACAGGCCTGCTGTGATATTCATCAGTAAGAACCAAAATCCATGATTTTTGAATGACAGATACACCTCCACGGATGCAACCAGCAGCATTAACCTGCAGGTAGAAACAGAGCAGGTGATTTTACAATGCAAAGATCAAAACTACAGTTCCTTGGTGCTTCCCTTTTCAAAAATGTCCCTTCAACTACACTGAATAATGGGATAATGGTGAACACACCTGGAAATAGGAAGACATGAAGCTGTTGTCCACTGCCAGGAGAACATCCCCATGTTTATGTACCACATCAGCACAGGCACGGATGTCGATGACCTTCAGCATGGGGTTGGTGGGGGTCTCGATCCAAACCAGCTGCACAAATCCAACAGAAACCACCAGGTCAGAGATTTGCAGTGCTGCTGATGCCCCTTGGGTAAGTGAGAAGTGCTTTCAGTGCTAATTTATTGAGTGCCAGCTTCCCAGAGGGGAAACAAGGCTTCCCTGCTGGAGCAAGGGAAGATTGCTTAGGAGAGGTGATTGAGGTGATTCCCCACAAACTCAACATGGGAAGCCAGCAAAGCTTTTGCAAATCCAGGTTCATCCCACCTGGAGAAGGCCTGATGGAGCAAGAACAAAGTGTTTACACCCAAAGGTCTGAATCACTTCCCTGGATCAGGGGATTATCCATTCCAGTGCCATGGAGCACCTCCAACTCTGAGGTCAGTGTTCCCTCTGCTCTTTCTTACCTTTTCCCTCCTCCTCTCTCTCTCCAGGGTGTTTTTTTTATCTTCTTAAAACATTTTCCATGAGGCAGCACAAACATGACCACATGCCCTGGTAGGACCAGCTGTGCCCCAACCCCTGCAGCCCCTCAGATCGACACAGACACCAAATTCAACGCAGGCAAGAATAAAACTATTTAACAACATTCATTTCCCTCTCCCCTACCTTGGTCTGTGGTGTAATTGCAGCTTCCAGGCATTTTGGTTTTGTGCAGTCAACAAAAACTACCTTCAAACCAATTTCTGAGGCGATTTTCCTGAAGTATCTGTTTGTGCCTAAAAAAAACCCAAAATCACATAATGAAACAAGTTCCTTGGACTTCCCTTCATTGCTGTCCAGTCTTTTGTATCATCCAGGGAAAGTCAGGAGGGCACTGCTTTGTGCTGCATGTAAATGACAAATCAGTATTGTTTTATTTCTAAAAATGTTTAAAAATTGTTGTAGTTTTAATTATCATGAAAATGTAGTAATGGGAATATGAGATCAGAGTGATTTATGAAGTATTTGATATCAGTGGGGTTTTTTGATCAGAAAATTAAACAGAGAAGCATCAAGGGGAAGACTCCAGTACTGTGTTTATTATCATTCCATTAAAAGTGATTCTTTCCTTCCTGTCTGTCTTTGGAACCTTTCATTGAGAAAATTAAAAGAAGAATCCAGCAGCAAACAGTTGATCAATAGATGAGCAACACACTACCTGGAAACACCACCTGGATTAAAAATTAACTTATTGGGTGTCTCTGCCAAGGTTCTCCCACATGGACTCCCTTCTGTCCAACAGCAGTTTGCCATCAAAGCATGAAGGGATGGAACATGGAGACTCTGTGCACTGAAGGCACAGCTCAGTGGTTTGGGGGTTTAAGGAAATGCTTTTTTTATAACAAAAGTATGGAAAAAAAAATCAGGGGAAAAACAATTAAATTATCTTTGCAAAAGCCACCCCAGGTCGAGGCTTTAATGAGCAGGTGAGCAAGTTTTGCTTGAAAAATACCCCCTGAGCCCTTCAGAAGTGAGGAACTGCCCATGTGCTCTGGTTAAATGATTGATTTGAGTTGTGGTGAGAGAGCTGTGAGTTAAAGGAGCAGAGATTCCTGCTGTCTCCAGCTGCAGTTGGAGAATACTCTCTGGCATGACAGCACTTCAGTGTGCAAAGCAAGTATGTGTGTGTTTAGATTTGATGTGCACAAGCACAGAGAACTGACTGGCAAACACTCAGCACGTCTAAGGAAAAGGAAAGTTGATTTCCAGGTTTTCCAGCTACTGATTGGGAAACCTGCCTCTAACCTTCCCTTGATAACAAAGCAGGTTGGATCTCTCTGTGCCAAGGCCTTGGAGACACCAGCCCTGCTGACCAATGGAACAGAAGTCACACACCGAGGAACTGTCATACCACGTCCTGCCAGCATGTTCCTCCTCAGGAATTCTGGGTGACCTTCTGAAGGACTTGGCTTGGTAGATGCCCTCTGGGACTGGGAGTTGTTGATAAATATGATGCAAGATCAATACCTAAGAGTGGGCTGTGGCATCTCTGAAGTGTTCAGAAAGCACGGGGACAACAGAGGGAAGCTGTGCTTTGGGGGGAGATGATGGAATAGTTGTCTGGAACAGTCCAGATAGTCCCTGTTGGTAAAGGGTTAAACCTAGGGAAGGGATCAGAGAAATACCAGCCACTGAAAAGAGGGTTCTGCCCTGCAAACAAAGGTAAGTGCAGCACTAAGATGTTGGTGTTTCCCCTCACTCAAACACACATTTGTTGTTACATATTTTTAAACCTCCACGTTGTGCCAATGGAATATTTCAGTGCCTGAAATTCTAACACCTGAATCAGACAGGAGTGATGTGTGTTCTCACAAGGTGAAAAAGCTTCAGAGAAAAGGGGAATTTCAGAGAGTTCAGGTCCATTTGATCCTTTGCACGGTGAAGATCAAAGCCCCCGTGGTGCTGTACATACCTCCATAGACATCATCCATGCAGATAACTGTGTCCCCTGTCTTCAACAGGTGACAGATGTTCAGAAGAGCTGCTAAGCCCGAAGAATAAGCTAAACCTGGAACAGAACAGAGTAAGTGGCAGACAGGCTGTGTTTGATGTGATACAACTTGGTCAGACCTGCCTTCACCTCCCTCACTTTGCCTCTCAAAGGAACTGTCACTCTCACTCTCCCTCACTTGGTGAGTGCAGCCAGTTAAAGCAGCAGTTTGATTTACACAGCTTAGGACCAGGATGGACACTGGTGCCAGACTGGAAACATATTGGGACCAGGGGCTGCCTGCTCCCCCTCCCACTGCATCCAGTGCTGCTGCACAGGGATGGATTCAGCTTATCTCAGGCATCAAACACAGTGAAAGAAGCACGACAGAAAGCCCAGGGACTGAGCTGGACTTTCCAACAATAACTGCTGGACTCTGACACCCTGAAGCCGCTCTTGCAGTCAGAGCTGTGATCGTGGAGTCATGGCATGGTTTGGGTTGGAAGGGACTTAAAGCTCACCCCGTCCCACCCCCTGCCATGGGACACCTCCCACTAGTCCAGGTTGCCCTGAGCCCTCCCCAAGCCATGAATTACTCACCGTATTTGGCTCCATCGAGGGCAGCCGCAGCCTTTTCCAGGCAATCTCGGGTCGGGTTCCCAGACCGGCTGTACTCATATCCCTGGAATAGGAGGGAGAGACAATGTAAGAGAGAGCACTGGGAAAGCTTTAGACAATACTACTTCCAGATGCCTCCAAGAGCCCTTGCTGGGGGCATCCAGCTCCTCCCAGAATGGCAGGAGGGCTTCCTGGCACAACAACAGGGCATTCCCATCGGCAAAAGCTGTCTAGGGGTACACTGGGGAAGCACCCACATTCTCCTACTTTTTCCTAAACATCCGTCTGTGGTCAGTGTTGGAGAAAAGGTCTTGGGCTGACACAGTCCACTCACTCTCAGATCTCAAAATGGGTCAGGTTGGAAGGGATCACAGTGAGACATTTGCTCCAACCTCCCTGCTCAAGCAGGGCCATCCCAGAGCACATGGCACAGGACTGTGTCCAGAGGGTTCCTGAATATTTCCGGGGAAGGAGACTCCACAACCTCTCTGGAGGGAATTATCAGGGAAAATTTTCCCATCTCCACCACACTCAGCCTCAGAGATGGCACAGGGCCAACTGTGCCTGTCACTTCCTGAAAACCCAGACGTGTCCCTGGCAACTTCCACAACTCACTGCTCCAGCTTTTATGGGAATTCTGAGAAGATTTAATGGGGAAAACCACTCATGCATGCTGGATGTAGTTGTTACAGAAAACCTGCTGAGCACCCTGGTATTTGCATTCTTTAAGAATTCTTGTTTAATGACAACTTCCTCGTGTTCTGGAATCCTGAGGATTGCTCCGGCAAAGCTCCTAGCAGGAACACGAACAGCCTGACATCAGGATTGTGGATACAGCAGCTGACTCCTTCTGAGGGCTTCTCCTGCTCCCAGGCATTCCCAGATGAATTCTGTGTGGAATCAGGGATCCCAAGGCACATCCCTTCTGCCCAGCCGGCCCAGTTCAGCCTGTGGCTTTGGAGCAGACCCTGGTTTAGGAGGGGCAGGTTTGTGCCATGGCCCATCAGAAACTTCAGGACAGATCACTGAAACCTTCCTAGTACTTTCTGTGGGGCAGCCACAAAATCCTTATGAAATATTTCCTTCTGTTTGGAAGGAAAACTAAAGCAGCCTCTCACACAATGTGTGCGAAGGAGAACACAGATTCTGCCTGGGCCCTGCATCTGGAAAATGGGCAGGTAAAGCTTCCCAGAGTCCTGGCTCTGTGCAGCCCATGGAGCTGGGAAGCAGCATCTCTTCCTCTCCGTTTCACGTGGAAATCATCCCAATCTCTCTCAGTTCCCAGAAAAACACAATCACAGTCTGGATCAGGCTGGAAGGGACCACAGTAGCTCACCTGGTCCCACCTCCCTGCTTCAGCAGAGTCATCCCGGAACACATGGCACAGGATTGTGTCCACACAGGTCTAGAATATCTCCAGTGACGGAGACTCCACATCCTCCCTGGGCAAAACCACCGCTACCAGCGGGGAAAAGATGCTCGGTTTGTGCAGAAGCTGCCACGTGGGAAAACATTTCCACCGGGAGCTCCCTCCCATTCCCAGGGGCAGCCGCTTCCCGGACCTCCCAAAGCGGGGCCTTCGGGGGTCTCCCCCCGTGTGCCCAGTGGCTCGGTGCCCCCGTGGGTGTCTCGGTACCACCTGGGTGTCTCGGTACCCCCGAGGATGGCTCGGTACCCCCGTGGGGGTCTCGGTGCCCCGGGGGTGACCCGATGCCGCGGTGGCGGCCACACTCACCGCATGCTCGCCGGGCGCCCGCTGCTTGAAGGTGGTGGAGAGAGAGATGGGCGGCACCACGGCCCCGGAGCGCCACTGCTCGGGGTCCTGGCCGGCGTGGATGGCGCGGGTGGCGAAGTGCGGGAAGGGCGGCAGGAAGCCGCGCTCCATGTCTGCCTGTGCCGCCTGTGCCGCCCGTCCCGCGTGTCCCGGGAACTGCCGGGGCCGCCGCCGCACCGGGGGCGCGACGGGGGCGGGGCCTCGGCGCGGCCCCTCATTGGCTGCGGCGCCGCGGGGGCGGGGCCAGCCCCGCAGCGGCAGCGCCCGCCCGCCGGGGGGAGCCCGCGAGCCGGGATCGTCCCGATCCTGCGGGATTGCCCAGAAAGAGAGCGCCTTCCCTGGGAAGGGAAAAGGGAGCAGCGCTGCCTGGATCACCTCAGCATCCGGGAAAGAGGTAACCCCAGCACCAGCACACCCTGGAGTGATCTGCGAAAGCAGCGCTGCGGAGAAGGATCTGGGAGTCCGAGCTGTCCCTGAGCCAGCCGTGTGTCCTGGAGCCGGGAGGGACAATGGGATCCGGGGGTGCATCAGGAAGAGCATTGCCAGCAGGTCAGGGAGGGGATCCTGCCCCTCTGCTCAGCCCTGAGGAGTCACATCTGGAGTGCTGTGTCCAGTTCTGGGCTCCTCAGGACACGAGGGATGTGGAGCTCCTGGAGAGGGACCAGCAGAGGCCGCAAAGATGATTTGGAGCCTGGAGCATCTCTGAGGAGAACTGTGGGAGCTGGGCCTGGTCAGCCTTGGGAAGGGACACTGAGAGGGGATCCCCTCAGTCCATACAAATATTTCCAAGGGGTGTCAGAGGATGGTCCCAGACTCTGTGCAGTGGTGCCCAGCAACAGGACAAGAAGCAATGACAATAAACTAAAACACAAGAATGCGGAAAAACTCATGAGGAACTCCTCCTCAACATGAGGAAGAACTTCTTTCCATGGAGGTGGCAGAGCACTGGAACAGTTGCCCAGGGAAGGTATAGAGTCTCCCTCTCTGGAGACATTCCAAACCCACTTGCTCCAGGTGAGCCTGCTCTGACAAGGAAGGTTGAACTGGATGATCTCCAGAGGTCCCTTCCAACCCCAGCAATTCTGGGATTCCGTGAAATATCTTATTAATGTGTATAAATATCTAAAGGAGGGGTGACAGAGGATGGACCAGCCTCTGCTCCAGGATGCCCAGCACTGGGACAAGAGGAACAGGCAGGAACTGATGTCCAGGAAGTTCCACCTGAACATGAGGAAGAACTTCCTTCCTGTGTAGCGACCGAGCACTGGGACAGATTGCCCAGAGTGGATGGAGTCTCCTCACTGGAGATATTTCAGAACCCTCTGGACACAATCCTGTCCTGTATGCTCTGGGATGACCCTGCTGGAGCAGGGAGGTGGGACCAAGTGAGCCACTGTGGTTCCTTTCAGCCTGACACATTCTGGGATTAAAAATTAATTCATTGTGTCTCCCTGCCAAGGTTATTCCACATGGATTGACATCCACGGAACACCAGTTTGCATTCTGAGGGTAAAGGGCACACAGGGGTGGGTTCAGTGTGCTGAAGGATACGTACAAAGAGGGTTTATATTATATTTTTAAAAGAAACATTTTCTTTACAACAAAAATACAAATAAAATATGAGCAAAACTGGATCTAAGCAGAGCAAAACCCCTGGGTGTGCACAGGGCAGGGTCTCAGCCTGGGCACACAGCAGGAACCTGAGATTTATGAGGGAGGTATTTCATCCTGTGGTGACAAATCAGCTTCCCGTGGGAAACGGATCCTGTGGAAAATGTCCACACAAAGCTCAGGGGCGAAGCTTTGCTGTGGACCCACCGTCCTGCCGGGTTACAGCGTTTCAGGTACCACCAAATCCGATAACCGGTCTGTCTCCTTTTTATAGCAATTTTTATTAGGAAATCCAGGATAGTCAAGCAGAGGCAAAAGGAAAATGGAATTATTTCCTTGACATACAAAATTCCTTCCTCCTTTTTCCCATTGGTCATCTCTGCAGGTTCCTGGAGGAGGCTGGGCCTGTCCCTTGATGTTCCTGCTCCTTTCATGGACACAGATCTCACCCAAATATCCCCAAAACCTCCTGCTGAACCACTTCACTGAGCCAGGACAAAAATTATTTTAGTCCCATGGATCAGCCCAAGTGAAGAGCTTGTGGTTTTTCCAGTGTAATAAGGAGATATAAAAATTCCTGAAGTGTTTTGGGACAGCATGAACTGCAAAGAGAATCAACACTTCCACCTGATGTCTTGAAGTTCCTTACCAGCTTTTTCTTGTTAGGTTTTATTTCCTTAAATCCTTCCTGGAGGAATGCACCCATGAGAGATCATTTATTTCCTGCTGGAGGAATTCCTTAAGTGAAGTTTCCACAGAGCCACAGCCCAGGAACTGTAGGAAATGGAGTTCTGGCGCATTCCTGCTACTTTTATCCCAATTACTCTTGGGAGGGAGAAATTTCAGTCATTTAAGAAAACGGAGAATATAAACAATGCAAAGTTCTGTTGTTAAATGGTCAAAATAACGCCAGTTCTCAAGAATTTTTAGATCCATAATAATTACACAGTTGGGATTCACTACAAACACCAGTTTTTCCCAGAGCCCTTCCCATGAGTAATGTCTTAGTTACATTGAAAAAGGACTCCATAATAAGCTGGTAAACAGTGACTTCAGGCTGTCAGTAATTAAAAATGTAACATGAAGCTTCCAACATCAGCTAAAGCCTGAGCTAATCCACCTATTCCACAAGACCAGCTGTGCTCCATGTGTGTTTCCAGCACAGCACCAGAGAACGGAGAGGAGATATCAGACCTGCTGACAGTGCCAACCTCTCACATCCTCCTTATAAATGGGTTTTAATTTTCCCTAAAAACAAGAAGAGACAGAAAGTCTTGTTGGAAAGACCAATGGAATACAGAACAAAAGCAACTTTGGGATTTTGTTTTCCCTGGAATTATTTAAAATTCTGTATTAGGACTGCAAAAAGCTGTGTGGGAAGAGGCTGGTCTGTCACAGAAATCGTATTTCATAGTTCCTAAATCTCCCTACAACTGTTCTTGGCCACTTATCCTGAGTGGAGATGATGCCAACTGGGGAAAGACAGAGATCACCCTGGCAGGCAGTTCTGTACCACAGCAGGTCTGATCTTCCTGACAACCTGGAGGTATTTTCCCCTGGAAGCATTAGTAAAATATCCAGTGTACCTGGAATTTGACACATCATCGCTTTTTTAATTATTCATGCCACTACTGGAATCAGAACCTTGCAGAAGTGGCACTGGAGCAGGAGCTGCTATAAGAAATCAGGAAGCTCTGACCTGAACAGGTACTTTCTAAGCTGACAATGCACCTTCAAGGACTGACACCAGGACAGGGTGACTGTCCCATCTTTCCCTTTCCCTGCACATCGTTTTGAGGAAGACAACTTGTCCAGGTCCCGTTGTTCCCCAGGGAACTTGTTTCACAGACATGTATCACACTGGGGCTTTTCCTTCTATTCCCCTGTCCCTCAGGGAAGGAAACAGGCACCAAAATGAGGGGTCTGGGTGATGTTTTGTTCAGAGGAGCATCAGGAGCCTATTGCTTTTCCTTTGCTCCCAAAGGGATTCATGGAAGGAGAGCCCTCCATGACCCAGGAAATATCCCTGAGGTCCTGTTCTTTCTGGGATTTGGCTCATTTGTGTGTGGTTTGTTTACACCTCTATGTAAATGCAGTGCGTAGATACATGGGATCATCTCTCCATTGCATCACTACACTTCAGACCAACACGCTCCTGATCCACCCTGGCACTTTACACATCCCAGAGGAATCCGGAGGAGTCATCACAGCAGATTTTGGCAGTGGGCTGAGGACCTGGGCTCTTCCCTCATGAAGCATCAGGGACGGTGCTTCTTCCTCTCTGAGATGGGTGGGAGCAGTTCCTGAGGGCCAGAGGCTGTGCTGGAGCAGTAGCGCTGCTCCAAGGAGATGGACACAGGCAGGCACATCCCTCTGGGAAGGGCAGTCCCTCAGGAAGCAGGGAGAGTTGCCTGGCCCACGGTGTCTCCTGGTACCCACGAGACAGCAGCTGTATCAGTGCAGTGTCAGGAGCTGTTGTTCCCATTTAGAAATGCCTGATACATCTCCAGCTTTGTTTAACACAGGCAAGTGCTGGATTCTGCCCCTGGGACGGGGCAGCCCTGGACGTAGAGGCAGACTGAGGGATGCCAGGCTGGAAAACAGCACTGATGGAGGGGATTGTCCTGCTCTGCTCTGGGCTGGGGATGGCCTCACCTTGAGTCCTGGGGATGCAATTGGGCACCTCAACATAAAAAAAGATCTAAAGCTGTTGGAGAATGTCCGAAGGAGGGACACGGGGACGGTGAAGGGTCTGGAGGGGCCACATGAGGAGGGGCTGAAGACACTTGGTTTGTTTCAGCCTGGAGGAGACTGGGGAAGACCCCAGGGGTCTGCAGTTTCCTCCCGAGGGGCAGATCCTTTCTCTGCTCCCCAGACCACTGACAGGACCCAAAGGAATGGCTGGAGCTGTGTCAGGGCAGGTTTATGCTGGATCTTAGAAAAAGGTTCTTCCCCCAGAGGGTGGTTGGGCACTGAACAGGCTACACCAAGGCAGTGGTCACAGCACCGAGGCTGACAGAGCTCCAGGAGCGTTTGGACAGGGCCGTGAGGCTCATGGAGGGACTGTGGGCGGGCCTCGGGAGGATCTCCGATCCCGGCGGGTCTGTACAGGGGTGTCTGTACACAGGGCTGTCAGGGGAGAGTCCCCATCCCGGCCTTTCTGATCGGAGGTGTCTGTAAGAGGCTGTGGGCGAGTCCCCCACCCTGGGCTGTCCGCACAGGGCTGTCGGTTCCCGGCTGTGGGCGGTCCCCCATCCCGGGCTGTCGGTTCCTCCTGTGGGCGGTCCCCCCATCCCGGGCTGTCGGTTCCCGGCTGTGGGCGGTCCCCCCATGCCGGGCTGTCGGTTTCCTCCTGTGGGCGGTCCCCCCATCCCGGGCTGTTGGTTTCCTCCTGTGGGCGGTCCCCCCATCCCGGGCTGTCGGTTTCCTCCTGTGGGCGGTTCCCCCATCCCGGGCTGTCGGTTTCCTCCTGTGGGCGTTCCCCCCCATCCCGGGCTGTCGGTTTCCTCCTGTGGGCGGTCCCCCCATCCCGGGCTGTCGGTTCCCGGCTGTGGGCGGTCCCCCCATCCCGGGCTGTCGGTTCCCGGCTGTGGGCGGTCCCCCCATCCCGGGCTGTCGGTTCCCGGCTGTGGGCGGTCCCCCCATCCCGGGCTGTCGGTTTCCTCCTGTGGGCGGTCCCCCCATCCCGGGCTGTTGGTTTCCTCCTGTGGGCGGTCCCCCCATCCCGGGCTGTTGGTTTCCTCCTGTGGGCGTTCCCCGCTCCCGCCTCGTCCCGCCCCTCCCGCCCCATTCCCTGACTCCGTCCCGCGCTCGCGCCCCCCCGCGCAGTCTCGCGAGAGCGGCGGCCCAAGATGGCGGCGCGGAGCCGCGGCCCGTGAGGCGCGGGCGGAGCTGCGGCCGCTCCGGGGGCTCCGGGCGGTGCCGGCCCCGGCGGCTCGGGCGGTACCGCCGGCCATGACCGGCGAGAAGCTCCGCTCGCTGCGCAGGGACCACAAGCCCAGCAAGGAGGACGGGGACCTGCTGGCGGCCGGCGAGGACGAGGCGGCCGCGGCGCCCGGCGGCGCGTTCACGGGCGGGAAGGGCGGGCGGGCTGGGGACACCGCGGGCCCGGCAATCACCGGCACCGCCCGCCCGCCCGCGCCGCGCCCGCCGGGCCCGAGCGCGGCCCCTTCCCCGTGCACGAGTGCGTGTTCAAGGGGGACGTGCGGCGGCTCTCGGCGCTCATCCGCACCCAGGGCATCGCCCAGAAGGACAGTCACGGTGAGCGGGACCCGCCGGGGCTGCGCGGCCGGGGCACCGCGGGGGGGAGAGGGGATGGGGATGGGGAACCCCGGGGAGCTTTTCAGAGGTGTGTAAGTCCCTTTTAGAAGGGACTTCTGATAATGGCCTGGAGGGACAGGGCAAGAGGAATGGCTTCCCCTGCCAGAGGGCAGGGTTAGATGTGATATTGGGAAGGAATCCTTGGCTGTGAGGGTGGCGAGGCCCTGGCACAGGTTGCCCAGAGAAGCAGTGGCTGCCCCATCCCTGGAAGTGTCCAAGGCCAGATTGGACAGGGCTTGGAGCAACCTGGGATAGTGAAAGGTGTCCCTGTCTGTGGACACCAGGGTGGAATCAGATGAGCTTTGAGGTCCCTTCAACCCGAAGTATTCCATGATTCCATGATATTTGTAATTTGACTGAGCACAGTGTCAGCTCCTGCGCCTCCCAGTGCTGGCAGAGCTGCCTCTTGACCTATGTGTTGCTCTATGTCCAAACCACCATAACATTTAAAAAATACATTCTTTTTTAAAGTGTCCGAGCTGTCACCTGTTTGCTCTGGGAGATGATGAGCGGTTCCTTTGGGTGTTGGCAGAGCAATCTTTGATATTTCCCCAGGCTACAAAAACAAACCCTTTTTTCCCCTTTCTTTTTAAATGCTTTAATTCTGCGGTTTGGGAGATCCAAAATCATGTTCCCTGCTCTTCTGCAAACTTGTTCTGTCCACAGAAGTGACAGTGGCAGAGGTGGGAATCTGATACTCATGCTGCTCTGTAATGCCTAAATATTTAATGTCTTGCCAGGACGTTTTAAAAAGTGTTTAATTTGGGGAATATTTTATATTTTATGTTGTTAAAAAAGAAATCAGCCTGGCAGGTCAGCTTAAGCTTCATGGTTATTTTAATCTCTATTTTACCTACTTAAGAGTAACATAGTCCCTTTCTGCTGGAGAATTCCAAGTTACACGCGTGTGGTGTTGGAGCTGTCATGGCAAAGGGGACACTTGTGTTCTGTTTCTGATCAAGAGAGAAATATTCCCTTGCTTTTGCTCAATTGTGGCTGTGAAATCAAAAGGAACATGAAGGTAGAGCAGTCTTGGGACTGGCACAATGACAGGAATAATGGAATTGGGAATTAAAGACACGTCCTTGGTAACACTGGACATGGAAACACAGCTGGAGGTGCAGAGTAACCCAGGGCCCAGCTCCCAGCCAGGAGGGCAGGAGTGTTCCTTACAACTGGCTCCACATTTTCCTCAGGACGTTGTTACAAATAGAGCTGCAGATATGTTTGTCCTGCCACCTTCATTCCAAACCCTGCAGCAAATCCTGGTGGGATGAAAGCAGCAGACTCGGGGAGGATTTTTCCCACTCAGTGTATTCCTGCTGCTTTTCCTCTGCTCCTTCTCTAGTTCCTCTTTACGTAACTCAGTAGCAGCTCAAAATCTTTACTTTGAGGCCCTTCCTGACCATCCAGATGCATGTCATTGATTCATCCTTTTTTAATCCATATATATTTTACACAAATTTCCCATTAAAGTCCCTCTGCTTTCTCAGCTCTGTTTACAGTTTGGATACTTTGGGGATCTCTGGCTCATCATCTTCCTCCAAGTTTTTACTTGGACTGTTCAAAAAACCCCACAACAAACCTCTTGATGTCTTGACATTCCAAAGGTCTGACTAAGATTTCTGTGTTATTGTTTTCTTCCTGCCTGAATCCATCTGTCATTCGTTTGCATAGTTGTATTGGGAATTATTTGTGGGAGAGAAACTGAGCTTGTGGTTTGTTCAGAGGAATCCTAGGATGTGATAAGGAAGGGACAGAGGGGAGAGAGAACTAGGAACAGTTATTGTCTATAGTCCAGGCCCAGTTTTGGTGGTGGATCAGTGCAGGAAAGCCAAATCCCATACAGTGGAATACTCCTGGTGTTCTACTAAAGCAATTTGAATGTTTATTGAGTGCAACCTGTTGGGCTCCCTAAATCAACCTCCAAGTCATTACCCAGTGGAAGGACAGTGCCCTCATTCCCAAAACAATGAGTTTCTTGGGAGAAACCTATATATACACCTATTGAATTACTTATATGTCTGTTATAACATGCATTTAAGAGCTTAAATTGTGGAGTGGATAAATCCTCTTGCTGAATTACTGCTGGAAAACTGCCCTGGCTCCTTCATGGGTGTTGCAGGTGCTTCACCAGAGGTTAAAGGCTGTGCATGTTTGAGGGCAAGTGCTGTGTTTTGTGTGTGTTTTTGTGCAAACAGTCCTTGTTTGCCTGCCTGGATGTGCAGTGCAGGATCCCAGGAGCTGGTGGAGCCCTGATTTCTTGGAATAAAAGTGTCTGTGCTGGGCACTGGTGAAGCCTCACCTTGAGAGTGTCCAGTTCTGGCCCTTCATGACAAGGAAGAAATTGAGGGGCTGGAGCGTGTCCAGAGAAGGGAATGGAGCTGGGGAAGGGTCTGGAGCACCAGAAGTGGCTGAGGGAGCTGGGGGGGGACTCAGCCTGGAGAAAAGAAGGCTCGGGGGGACCTTCTCTCTTCTCTGCAACTCCCTGACAGGAGGGTGGAGCCAGGTGGGGGTCAGGCTCTGCTCCCAGGGAATAAGGACAGGACAAGAGGAAACAGCCTCAAGTTGTGCCAGGGAGGGTCAGGTTGGACATCAGGAGGAATTTCCTCATGGAAAGGGTGTTCAGGCATTGGAAGGGGCTGCCCAGGGAGGTGGTGGAGTCCCCATCCCTGGAGGTGTCCAAGGAACGACTGGCCGTGGCACTCAGTGCTCTGGGCTGGGTGACAAGGTGGAGATCAGACACAGGTTGGTCTCGATGGTCTGGGAGGGCTTTTCCAGCCTCAGTGATTCTGTGATCTTATGAAAGTGTTTACCCCTGGCTCTCATAATTTGCATTCCCTGAGCACACACTGTGGCTCATCCTCAGATCCTCAGGAACGTTATTTGCAGCACCTCACAAAGGCTGGCTGCATCCAGGATTCCCGGGGATGCATTGGCTCACAGATGTTGGAGCAGCTATTAATAGAAACAGGGAGGTTAGCAAGTCCTAATGAGCATAATGAGCTGGGATGTGCCTGCCTGGATGCTGCCAGTGACCTGAAGGATGATTTGCAGGACATGGAGAGCAGCTTACTTGGACATACAGGGCAGAGTTTCCTTGTCCATGCAAGATTCCACGTGCTGGCATTTCTGTGGTTGCCTCTCTCACATGTGCAGCACATCCTCTGCACAGAGCAGGTTCTTCCTGCTGACACGGCCCTGTAAAATAACGCTAAACCAAGTGTGTTCATTATAATTGCCAAAGAAATTTGGTTTCCTGCATTTTGTTCTCTTAACTCCACTACGAAAATGTTTAAACATGTAAAATAGAGTTAAATTGGAGAACTTTGCATCCCTAAGCTCCATAAATAAAATATAGTATGAGCCTGGTAGCAGCATTAATCCAGAAAAACAGCTCTGGGGGCCTCACAAGGAATATTTGACAACAGAAATCCCACCTGTATCGTGAGCATCACCAAGAAAATGGGATCAGGCTTGAGTGTCTGTTGATAATCTCCACAGCTTTCTTTGGAAACAAGGCATTAAAATAACCAAAAGGCAGCTTTGTAGAGAAGTTGCTGTTGCTTCTCAATCTATCCAGTGCTGGAGTAGTAAAAAATGTGTACTCAATCTTTGAAAAATTCATAAAGTAAGCTCTTAAATTTTTAATCAGTATCATATCTCTGAGTAGCTTTTAACCCAGATCTGTCAGTCTGGGAAGGGATCAGACACTTCAGACCATGTGGAGCAGAGAGGTTTGGGTTGTGTCTTTCTTGAAGACACAACTGGACGTCTTTGACTGGGGTAGGTTTGAAGATATCATTAAAAGAACCTCTCTTGGCCCATGAAATGTATCTCAGATATATTTATTTTGACAGGTATAATGTAAGTGGTTACTTGGAAAAATATCTCTGTTCTGGTGGGGTTTGGAGTGTTCCTTGGTTAGACCAGAAACTGAAGTTTCCTGAGGAGAAATTGCCATGGATTTTGGTACCTTGAATCTCAATAAAATAAATAAATAAAATATCTTTTATTTCTGTGGTTTATTTTAGGAAACACTCCTTTACATCTTGCTGTGATGTTGGGACATAAAGGTAGGTAAATCCACCTGTTTTGTTACCTCTTAAATGATCCTGAAGATTTGGAGGCAAGAGGAAAAAGATTTTTCCATTTTCCTGAAGATGATCTTGTGTTCTAAGCTAGTTCCAAGTTGAGGTTTCCTGGAAAGAGGATACCATACAGATTTTGAAGAGAAAAGTGAGAAAAGAAATCCGAGCTGTTCTCCAGACCAAAACCAGGGAGCTGGGGGTGGGAGAGTTGTAGCAGTTGGACTCTGTGATGCCAGAACAAGAGCAGAGGGAGGACTCAGCTCCCCTCTTTTTGTAGAGGTAGAAGGAAACCAGGAGAGAGGCCCTGACACAGGTTGCTCAGAGAAGCTGTGGCTGCCCCATCCCTGGAAGTGTCCAAGACCAGGTTGGATGGCACTGGTTTAGATTTCAGTTCGCAGTTCACCTTTAGCCTTCTTTCCACTCAGTCATGTGTCAGGTGTAAAGCCCTAAATCCTTTGGGATGCTCCTGGTGAGCCTTTGTCCAGCTTGCCTAGAGAAAGGTTATTTGTGCAAGACAGAGTTATGTCATAGAATGGCCTGGATTGGAAGGGACCTTAAAGCTCATCCCAATCCACCCCTGCCATGGACAGGCACCCCTTCCACTATCCCAGGTTGCTCCAAGCCCTGTCCAACCTGGCCTTGGACACTTCCAGGGATGGGGCAGCCACAACTTCTCTGGGCAGCCTGTGCCAGGGCCTCACCACACTCCCAAGGAACAGTTCTTTCCAATATCCCACCTAACTCTGCCCTCTGGCAGTGGGAAGCCATTTCCCCTTGTCCTGTCTCTCCAGGCCCTTGTCCCAAGTCCCTCTCCAGCTCTCTTGGAGCCCCTTTAGGCCCTGGAAGTGTCTCTAAGATCTCCCGTTTTTCCTCCAGATGAACACCCCAGCTCTCCTGGCCTGTTTAAGTGGAAATGGAATCTGGCTGGTAATTCCAGGCTTATTTTCCTGCCCACTGCGGAGTGATGTTCTTGTCTTGGGCACTGTATTTAAGGAACCATAAAAATACTTCAGTGTCTTTGCTGGATTAGTCAGGGCTTTTGTTTTTGTACCACAGGAGACGGTTTATTCACCAGGGAAGTATCTCTTCCTCCCCAGTCCCCGTGCTTGTAGTGACTCAGGGGTGTTGCATCTGGAATGACTAGTGCAGTTTCCTGTAACACCTGTGGTAGGAAAATAACCCAGGAAGTCCCTCTCTTAGGCCCATCCTTCGTGATGAGACATTCCCTGAGCCTCAGCTCCAGCTGGGTCCTGCTCTATCCCCTGCAGACGGATCAGATGGTTTTAGTGATATCTGGTCGGGAAACTTTCTGTGGTTGGAAACTGAAGAACCATTTCCAAAGACCGCATGGAAACGCTGAGAACTTCCTTCTCCCCTTGATTTTAAGGACTCTTTTTTCATCCCCCATCACCTTTTACCCATGGACAGAGAATGCAAGTGGAGCTGAGGTGTACAGGCTTTCCTTGGTCGGAGGTGCCTGTTTGCCCTCCTTAAATTCCATGTTTAAATGGATGTTACAGCCCAAAATCTGTGTCCTCATGATCAGTTGGACCCTTGGGCAAAGGGAGATGAAGAGAGAGGGGAAGGCCATGAGATGTCTCTTTGTACAGGAGTTTGGGTGCGAAACAGAGAGCTGATGTAATACATTAAAAATATTTCCTATGTAGTTGTGTGTTTACAGAACATGCAGAAATGCAGCTTTATAAAAAGCAAATTCTAAGAAGCAGAAGGGCCATGTCTTTAGTGTTATGTAATTGGTGGTTGATCACCAATTATTTTTAGTGCTAATATTGAAGAAGGAAGTGCTGTAAGTACTTACATAAATGGGCTTGTTTGTTAAAGTGAGTCAGAATCCAGATATGTATTTTGATAATCTGTTAATTATCTGATATTAATATCTACAACTTTGGCTTTATTATAATTTCCTTTATTATGACTGACACTGCTGTGTCCTGGCTGTTTACTGTTAATAACATGAATATTTCGTTCCAGAATGTGCCCACCTGCTTTTAGCCCATAATGCTCCAGTAAAGGTGAAAAACGCTCAGGGATGGAGCCCTCTGGCCGAAGCCATCAGCTATGGAGACAGACAGATGAGTAAGCACCTCTTCATTAACCCAAATTTGCCCCATTAATCCAAAATCAGGGCCTCATTCAGAACAGGAAAACAAAGCTCTTCAAGCTCTGTTATTTTATCTTCCCCCTCTTTTAGTTTCTCTTCATCAGCTGAACTTTTTTGTATCTCAACGTGATCAGGCACGTCCATTTCCTTGATAAGAAATTACATTAGGTTACATAAGCAAAATCTTCCCCCTGCTCAGCATTTAATGATTGTGAAAGCTCTCCATGAGCCTTCTGTGTTTGGAATGGGAGTGACAGGGGCAGGATGGATTTTAGCTGCGTGGGATCATCTAATTGGAGCTGCTCCCTGTGGTCACAGGGATGTTTGATACATCAGTTGGCATTGGGGTACGGCTTTTAGTTTGCATCTTAACAGGTCAGTGGGGAAATGTTATTTTTTTGTTTGTATATTTAAGTATTTTATTTATATATTATAATATATATTATCCAAATATTGTTTATTCTCCTGAGATGTGGAGTAGTAAAGGGGAAGTCATTCTACTGCCACTCACTAGTGGTTGTCAATAATATTGGGTATTGCCATGTGTAGTGGTGCATTCCTATAGCAGAAAACTCACTATGTATTATATATAAATGTATTATTAATATATTAATGCTCTGATTTATAATATTCCAACAATATTTTTATGACAGCTCCTCACTACTACTTTTCTCAGAGGGAGTAGATGTCACACAGTCTGTAGACCATGTTCAATAACATACATTTGTACCCACATATTTACTATTAACTGTGTAAAAAACCCTCTTGACTATATGCTTTGTTTTATAAACAATAATTTTATAAGCAGTAAGTTAATAAAATTATTGGGCTTTTCTTGCTGGTGTGATCAGAGCAGGCTGATGTTTAATTACTGTAACTCAAAATTAATTTCTCTGTAGTCTGATGAAATATTACATTGCATTGTTGTTTTTTTTAAGATGTTAAATAAGACACCTGTAATTAACAAACAGATATATTACCAAACAAATAGATTGACCTTAGAGTTCATTCCTTTTCAGTTTCAGCACTCCTTAGGAAGCTCAAGCAGCAGTCCAGGGAAAGTGTTGAAGAAAAGCGACCTCGATTATTAAAAGCCCTGAAAGAGGTAAGTTGTGCTGTCAAAACCAATGGGATGGAAAGTAGTGACTGATTTTCTAAGAATAGACAATCTAGTAAACTGTAATAAAGTTTTTTACATGTCTTTACAAATCTCTTCTGCTCTGAAGAGCAATCTTGGCTGACAAGTTCCATTTTGAGGGGTCACAGAATTATGTTTATTTTAAGACACTACTTCCTTCTCCACTTCTAGAAATTCTAATAAAAGGTTTATGTAAGACAACCCTGCTTGTCATCTTTGCAATCTAAAAGTTAAAGAATCTGTATTTATTTCATTACATTTTTAAGGCTTTCTTGAATCTTTTGTTTTGATGAATAATTTACTAGTTTGTTGAGTCACCAGTCACAAATGACACTTGCTTTTCTTGCTTAGTAATGAAAGAGATTTTTGGTTTAATTCTCCATCTCCATGCAGAATGAATTCCTCTTGGGCACAGTGAAGTAATCCTCAGTTTAGGGAAAGCAGTTCATGGCAAATCAGCTATTTAGCTAAAGTTAATTAAGTTATCCTTCTGGAAGTAGAGGTGATCCACCCTGGACACCCTCATGGTGGAGTTGCCTGACACGTGTTGGTGGAGGCAGAGGCCAGAAGGCCAGCTGAATTTTGTGTCTGCAATACTCTGAGCTGAAACCTGACTCATTAATTATTATATAATTAATTATAATTCCATGCGGTTGCATGTGATCAATCAAAGCAATCATAGAATTCCAAAGGTTTGCTTTTTTAAACACATATTTACAATAAATCTTTTGCAATCTGCGGCTTAATTGCTGTGTGAACTTTAATTTTTTGAAAGTAATTTAAAATGAGAGTCAGATGAAATACTTGATTTTATTAGCATTGACTCTACTACAGTTAAAGCCTCAGGAATGTTTTAAGTTCAGTATAAATTCAATACAATATTAGAGAAAGTTTTCTTGCTTGAAAGACAGACTTCTACCTGTCTTTCTGCAAATTTTATGGTTATTTAGCATTAAAAGCTTGGTAATATATTCGTGTTTTCTTCTCAGCTAGGTGACTTCTATCTAGAGCTTCACTGGGATTTTCAAAGTTGGGGTGAGTGGCTTGCATATTCCTTCCACAGGGAGATAATGGAATCAGCCTTCAGCACACTCGTGCTCTCAAGCTTCAGTTCTCTCCTGCTGTGTGTGTTGGGAAGATCACAGTCCAGTTCTCAAGATCTGAGTCATAAAGAAAGGACAGACAGCTTTTCCAGAATTATTTTTGCATATTCGTTTTTCGAGCTGAATTCTGTTTTAATCCAGTGACACAATAAGGGGGGAACAAGCTGTTTGCTTCAAGAACCTGATGATTAGAAAAGTAAAATATTAAGAGGACCCTATTGGCCCATTGCTGTTACTGTAGAGCAGTGATTTGAACAATTTAGTTGAGCAACTGGACTCAGGGCACATAATTTCCCCAGTTTCAGCCCGTGCTGAGTGGTGACTTGTGAATTCAGTGCAGCTCTTTGGGAGGTGCTTCATACCTGGCTGCACCTCAGAGCTGCTCTGCTGTGCTTGTGTCACCTCCAGTGGTGCCTCCATTTCCACTTCTCTTACCTGAAGAAGAAAAATGTAAATAAATGAGAAAAAATGCATTAACAATGATCAAGATGTCTGAATCATATCAAAATATTGGGAGTGATACTGCCCATGGCAGGGTGTTAGAAATGGATGAGCTCTAAAGTCCCTCCAATCCTTCCTGCATTCATTCTATACCTTCTGCTACTGGTTGACGTTGAGGTTAGTAATTTATAATACTTTATACTAATATATAAGGAAGAAATCCTTTCTGTGAGGGTGGTAAGGCCCTGGCACAGGTTGCCCAGAGAAGCTGTGGCTGCCCCATCCCTGGAAGTGTCCAAGGCCAGGATGGATGGGGCTTGGAGCAACCTGGGAGAGTGGAAGGTGTCCCTGCCTGTGGCAGAGGATGGGACTGGATGGGCTTTGAGGTGCCTTCCAACGCAAAGAAGTCAGAATTAAAATTGTGAGCAGCTTGAAGACAACTTAGGAGAACTATAAATGATTTAACTGTGACCGAGATATAAATGATGTCCTGATGTTGAAAGCAGTGGGTGCAATTACAAATCAATTTTACAATTACAAATCAATTTTCCAATTACCAAATAGAAATAACTCTGGTATTAGTCAGTTGTATTTGATTGAGATGATGGAAAATGCAGTAATTACATTAAAATATACTCAAACTAATGGTCTGGTTTTAATAGAAATAGTTTGCAGAGGGACCTCAAGATCCTAATTTCCTTCTCTCTCCCCTCTTTAGTGCCTTTACTTTCCCGAATTCTGCCTTCTGATGCATGTAAAATACACAAACAAGGTATAAATATCAGGTGAGTGCTGGGTTTGCACCCAAATAGCTGTATGTCCACAGAATTCCCTGAGGAGTCTGCACGTGTCTGTGACACACAGTGTGGCTGTGCATGTGCTGGGGACTTCAAGCTGGCTGGTTTTCTCTCTTCTGAGTCTAAAGTAAATATAAAGCAAAAGCAGTTCAGCTGATAAGGCTTTATCTACCTGACAAGCCAGTGAAAAACAGGGGTTGGATATTTTTAACACAGTTTCAAATAATTTTATTAAATTCCAGGGTTTTGTGGAGAAGTGTTGCTGCTCCAGTCTGTAGTTTGAAAAAAAGTCATGTATCTTCTCTTTTTAAGGTGTTTATTGTGACAGATTCACAAACTCAGTGTTTTCAGTAGTCTTTCCAAGCTCAGCTCTTTAACTGGGTTAGTTTGATGGTTTGAATTCTTTTCTTTTTCTGTAGGTTCCAAAGTTTGAAACAAACAAAAAGGCATGAATATGGTTCCTAAGATTCAATCTGTAGGAAGTTTTGTTCTAATAAAAGTGTAGCTTAGGTGTGTAAGGTGACTTTTTAGGTGAAATTTGAGTCTGGGGCCATTATTTTCCTTCTCATTTCTAAGAGCTCTGCCTGTATGAGACTTGAACTGAGGGGAAATAGATAAATCCAGATTCTTTCTTGAAATCAGAGGCCAATATATGAAGGAGTATTTAAGCCTTCACCATTTAGTGCTGGAAGGGTACCCAGTTGAGGTCCTTTAAGCACTTTTGTTTAAGGAATAAATGTTCCAGCAATGATGGATATGAATTGTCCTCGGCTCCATCTTCTTCCAGTTATCCAGAGCAGCAGAAGCACTTCCTTTGTGTTGGTGAGGGGGAAAAATAGAAATAGCAATGAAAATAAGTCCAAAAAAAAAAAAAAAAAAAGTCTGTTTCTTAGTCCTGTTCAGAATTTGGGTCATGTCCTAGTACTGTTGCTCAAATCAGAGGCTGCCACGTGTGGAATAATGTGCTGAGGAGTTCTCAGTGTGCAGCACATCCTAACTGTGTAAATTCTGCACCTCCTCATGCTGGCACTTTTCAATACAATTTTCTGAAGAAAACTTTATAGCAATTTTTGTGGTCGTTTCTGCATCCAGGCGTCACTCTGAAATATTCACTGAACCCTCAGCCCTTTACGTGTTTGGCTACGATTAAAAAATTTCTGCTTGAAAACTCATTTTACTTGTGTGTTTGAGTGTTTTTTAAGAGTGGATGTGTTTTCACAGGCTGGACACAACTCTGATAGACTTTACTGACATGAAGTGCCAACGAGGGGATTTGAGCTTCATTTTTAACGGTGACGCCGCACCCTCTGAATCTTTTGTAGTTTTAGACAATGAGCAAAAAGTTTACCAGCGAATACACCACGAGGTAAAGCTGGGGGAGAGGGGTGGGATTGTTTTTGGAAGTCTCACTTACTGTGTTAAACAAAATGTGCCTCAAAAACACCCAAAGAACTGCAAAGCAAAGAATTTTTTTGCTCAGTTGGGTACAACTTGAGGCGTGTAGGGAACATCAAGTTTTGTGATGAAAACCAGTGCTTGGGAATATTTTGAAAAAATATGGTTAAATTATAACATGTGCTTCTAGTCTTTCCAGTGACCTTAATTTAAGCATCCTCAGGTGAGTTTTGAGACTTGTTGCCTCTCTCTTTTAGTCACTCTATGGCCGTTTGGTTGATAACAGTGTGAAGGTCTGACTCACTGGACCCCTTGTAATTAGTCAAGTCTTTAATTACAGCTTTATCCCCCAATCACTTAAGCAGATGGATTATTGCCTGTGGAAAGGGTGTGGCAGCTGAGTTGCTGGATAAATCCTATTGGGATGCTTTATTCACATTAATATTAAAGATTAAACTATTTGGAAACCATTTGGCCAGAGGTTTTATAAACAGTTTGAAAATTCAGGAAATGCTGATTCTGGGAAAAGTTCCAAAGGCTTATGGATTTGTATTTATTTGTTTATTTTTAGAAGAAGTGATCATTATTTTTTAAGTTCTGTTAAGTATTTTGGGATTTTTCTCCCAGGAATCTGAGATGGAAACAGAAGAGGAAGTTGACATTTTGATGAGTAGTGACATTTACTCTGCAACGTTATCCACCAAATCCATCACCTTCACACGGGCCCAGACCGGGTGGCTCTTCCGGGAGGACAAAACTGTGAGTGAAGAGGGAACTGCACAGGGAAAACAGTTCAGAGCCTGGTGGTGCTGTGGCAGGGGAGGAAGGAGGATGAAAAAACACTGGGAAAAGCATTGGAACAGCTTGCCCAGAGCAGCTGTGGCTGCCCCATCCCTGGAAGTGTCCAAGGCCAGGTTGGACGCGGCTTGGAGCAACCTGGGAGAGTGGAAGGTGTCCCTGCCCATGGCAGGGGGGGGACTGGATGAGCTCTAAGGTCCCAAACCAGTCTGGGATTCTAAAAGAGTAAGGTGTTCAGAGTGAAGGTGAAATGTGTCTCCCCATATCCCCACAATTGTCACCATGTGACAATTGGTTGGACCATGTGGAATCTGCTGGGCTGCCTTCATAAGGAAAAAATAGGAAGAAACATGACAAAACTGTAGCTGTTGGGCAGGGGGAGAACACATTGTACTGAAGAATACTTTATTGTTGGAGTCTGTGGTTTCTGCAGACTGATTCCAAAGTGTGCGATCCTGTTGGAGAAATGCAGGGATGGGAGTGCTGTGGAAGGGAAATTCAACCAGATTTCCCTTGACCACTCCTAAATTCTTAAAGTTTCCATTCATAGAAGTACCTGTTCCAGGTGGAGTTCTGGGATTGCCCCCTGACAGCTCATGTGGGTGGTTGGGTGAATTCCATTTCAATCCCCAGTTGCCCTTATTGCAATTATTTGGATACACAAGAATCAAAATGTATAATATAATATTTTATCTTATTCCTTTCACACAGGAAAGAGTAGGAAACTTTCTGGCAGATTTCTACCTGGTGAATGGACTTGTATTGGAATCAAGGAAAAGAAGGGAACACCTTAGTGAGGAGGACATCCTTCGGAATAAAGCGATCATGGAGAGCCTGAGCAAAGGGGGCAACTTAATGGAGCAAAATTTTGAGGTATAATTGATAAACCCTTCACAGTGTGTGAATTTTTGCATAGGAGAATAATCTTTCACACCAGTCATTGTGCAAAATCTATAATGTCTTTATTTTGTCTTAATTTTAAAATGATAAACACAACCTACAAGTATAATGGCGGTGAATTATCCTGATTAGTGCAACACTGAGGGATTTCTGTGGTTATTTCGGGTATTTCAGGCTTAATTTGTCTCTTAAAAGAGATGATGGGTTTGGCTGTGGCAAATCACTTTGACTTCTTTCAGACAAAATCTTTATTGTCTGGAATGAAAGGAAAACTAGAAAGGCAATCGTGTTTCTCTTCAGTTTCATTACCATGGAGCAAAGCCTGTTATTAGCACAGGAAATCAAGAGCTCTTCAGAAGGAGCCAGACATCAGCTGGAAACACACATAGAGCATTTAAAGTGATTAATTGATTTCTGTGTTAGCTGGTGCTTGTGACTTGGCAGTCAGACACTTGAATTAACTGATTACTGATGGAGTAAAACAGCCTAATTCTATAGAAAGTGCACTTGGAGGCCAAATACCTCAGAGGAGACTGAGAGCAGGAGATGGAAAAGCCCAGGGAAGACTGTTGGTGTTCTCAGAGCTGAAGGACAGTGTAGGATTTGAGTGGCAAATGTAAGGGAATGTGAGGATGGATAAGGAGATGTGTTTCCCTGCACAGCCCGTGCGCCGGCAGTCCCTGACCCCGCCGTCCCCGAACACCATCACGTGGGAGGAGTACATCTCTGCTGAGAGTGGGAAGTAAGTGCTGCCTCACGGACACCTTTACGTGGTTGGGTTGGGAGTGTGAGGCCTTTGGTTGGGTTTTTTTGTATTCTGTAGTTGGTGCTTCTTGTTTATGTTTTTTTTGGGGGGGGCATAGGAAGGTTGGGTTTGGTGTCTCAGGTGTTTGATGTTCTTCAGTGGGCTGGGAAGGTGATACCTGTGTGTGGGAACAGTATTAGTGCGTTTAAGTAGAATTCCAGAATCTTGGAATGGTTTGGGTTGGAAAGGACCTTGAAGGTCATCTCATTCCACCCTCTGCCATGGGCAGGGACACCTTCCACTATCCCAGGTTGCTCCAAGCCCTGTCCAACCTGGCCTTCAACGCTCTCTGGAATGGGGCAGCCACAGTTTCTCCGGGCAACCTGTGCCAGGGCCTCACCACCCTCACAGCCAAGGATTCCTTCCCAATATCCCATCTAACCCTGCCCCCACACAGTGGGAAGCCATTTCCCCTTGTCCTGTCCCTCCAGGCCCTTGTCCCAAGTCCCTCTCCAGCTCTCCTGGAGCCCCTTTAGGCACTGGAAGGGGCTCTAAGTTGTCTGTGGAGCCTTCTCCAGGCTGAGAGAAGAGAAAATTGTAGTGATAAAATACTGGATGAGCATCTGCCTGACTCCTTGGCTTGAAATAGAAATATTTTTAAAATATACACATTTAGAGTAGTGCTTTTTATTTTTAGGGAAGGTTTTCTAACAAATTCATTCCTGTAATTCATTTAACTGATGATAGTAATAAGCATTCCCATTCACTATGTTTAAAATAAAAGTGTGTGATGCAATGAGGCACCAGGTGATATGAAAATACTACAGCACAAGGTTATTAAAAGGGCGCGTGGATCTCTCTGGGTTCTTTTAACCCATTTAATTTTTAATGTATTTGAGAGAGAATGAATATTCAAGCAGAGTAAATAGTTTTGTCTGTTCAAGCAGAATAAGTAGGACAGAAATATGTGTGTATATAAGGTTTTGCTTTGTTTAATAATCTGATTCACTGAAGGGAGTTCAATGGGAAATCCAGGTTTCCAGCAAAAATAAAAGTAGAAGAGGAAGAAACTTTACATTATTTGTTACCTGCCCATTCCTTCCCTGTAACAGAATTTGCTAACCTGGGCTTTCCAGTGTTACCTTCCAGGGATAGCTGAGGAACTGAAAAAAATGAACCTTTTTCTAGTTTAACTTAATACTCCATTCACATACAGACTTTTTTAATTAACATCTGAAATCAGATGGACATATTCTGGGGAGTTGTTAATAAACACTTCCTGTAGTGCTTACTAATACAGTGGTTATGGGGAATTGTTTGAAGATTTTCTCTGAAGTATTTTCCCTGTTTTTGTCTTGTCTCCTGGTTTAGCAGAACTGAGATCAATCTTAAACTAAGATGTTTTTTTCACATTTACTGTGCACAGTTTTTGCACTAAAGCAAATACTTTGAAAGTAGGGATTCTTTACTGGTGTTTTCAGACTCAAGTCTGGTTTCCTTCCTTTATAACCAGGGTTTCCCTGGGAAACGCTGACTTTACCTCTCCCCTCTCCCTCACAGAGCTCCTCACCTGGGCAGGGAACTGGTCTGCAAGGAGAGCAAGAAAACCTTCAAAGCCACGATAGCCATGAGCCAGGAATTCCCCTTAGGAATTGAATCGTGAGTCCAAGTTACTGCCCATGGATATTATTTGTGTGTAGGGAATGTTTTACTCTGTTTATGAACTGCAGAATCCTCCATATCCTCAGGGGTGGGAGGTGGCAGTGTAAAACCTGGGGGTGAAGTCAGGCAGTAAAGCAACAAAACTGGGAATGTGGGAGCTGGTGTGGTTGATGTTGGAGGAGTGAGGCTCTGACTTGGTAAGAGCAGAGTTTTGTTCCCTGATGCACCTGATCCTGCAGAATTCTGAAATGTTTTTACCCATAACAAGTTATAGCACAAAATTGTGTCTTGGAAACCAATGCAAACCCAGGCCAGTTCCTTGTGTCCGTGGAGAAGGGGGGTGGTAACCACATCCCTCAGTCTCCTGTGGAAAATGAGGACAAGAAATGAATATCCTGATATTGTTTTGTTGCTTGTGGTAATTATGGATCACTGAGAGCTGGATGTGAGGGTGACACAAGCTCTGAGGAGATGGATGGAGAAGGATGATGTCACTGTTCACCTCCTCTTTTCTTCACTTGCCTTTTGGGTCATTTTTCTCCTGTTCTAGAGGGACAGCCTGTGGAACAAGAATTTGTAATGAGCTTTGCTTTCCTTTGCAGATTGTTGAATGTCTTAGAAGTAATTGCACCCTTCAAGCACTTTAACAAACTTAGAGAATTTGTTCAAATGAAGCTTCCACCAGGCTTTCCTGTCAAATTAGGTAAGAACATAGCAACTCCTGTGGCTTTGTGTATCCAAAAACCACAGAACCATTTGGGTTGGAAAATACTGAGTCCAGCCATTCCCCAGCACTGCCAGGGCCACCACCCATGTCCCCAAGTGCCACATCTACATGGCTTTTAAATCCCTCCAGGGATGGGGACTCCACCATTGCCCTGGGCAGCTGTGCCAGGGCTGGACAAACCTTCCAGGGAAGAAATTTTCCCTTATATTCTCTCCAGATCTAAACATGTACACTTATTCCTGCAATAGAACTCACCTTGAAGTGTGTTGCTGTAGTTTCAGGAGAACATAAATACTGGAGCCTTGCTCCAAGAGCAGTGGAATATGCCAGATTATTCTTGCATTAGAGGATGATCTCAGTCAGGAGTGAAGTATTTTGTAGAAATCTTCGATTTCCTTTTCCTCGAGGATTACTGGTGACGTGTTCCATTTACAAATACATAGAAAGCTGTTGCATCTGTAACAGATGGAAATGGATAAATCAACTTACGGGATAAGGCTGCCCATAAGGAATAACACCTTTCCTAAGGGATAGACATCCTAAGGATGTCTGGCATTGTGGTGAGGTGTGTGAGCCTGACAGTCCAGGACAGGCTGTGCACAGCTCTGGTCATGGAATCCCACACTGGTTTGGGTTGGGAGGGACCTCCAGGTCATCCCACTCCACCTCCTGCCATGGGCAGGGACACCTTTCACTGGACCAGGTTGCTCCAAGCCTCGCCCAACCTGGCCTTGGACACTTCCAGGGATGGGGATTGGTATCGCTATTGGCATTTCTTTGCCCTTCATTGTCCTCTTTTCCTCCCTCTCCAGATATCCCTGTGTTTCCCACCATCACAGCCACTGTGACGTTCCAGGAGTTCCGTTACGACGAGTTTGACGACTCCATCTTCACGATTCCTGATGACTACAAGGAGGACCCCAGCCGCTTCCCGGACCTCTAGTAAACTGGAAGGCTCCTGGTGAATATCCACACCGGCATCCCCAGGGAAAGGGAATGGATGCACCCACACTAGGGATAAAAACGTGGGGCACACAGGAAGGGATAAACTCCATAACCCCGGAGAAAAGGGAACGGGCATCAATGGCTGATGTACTGACACTACAGTGGGCATCTCCTCCACTCCCGATCCCAGCCGTGTCCTGCTGCTGTTCCCTGTGGCACAGCCAGCCCTGGCAGGGGCAGCTCCAGCCCTGACAGGAGGACCTGCGCTCCTTTTTAAATTTTTTACGCTGTTGGTGACACACAAGGCCCTGCTGGACCGTCGGCACCGGAGCTGGGCCGTGGCAGGATGTGAGCCCTGACCCACCTGTCCATCCCAGGAGCCCTTCCCAGCCCTGCTCCCTGAGCTGCACAGCTCAGCCATGGAATGTTGTGGGAGGTATCCTCAAGGAATGCCTTGGCTGTAGATGAATGAACCAAAGGGCACCACTGGACACTTGGATTTCCTGCAATCCAGGGCAGAGCCAGCTGTGCCCTGCAGGGAGGGAGGCCCAGCCTGGTGCTATCCCTGTCTGATCCCTTTGTTCCTGCTCCCAGCTGTCCCTTCTCTCACTGCTGTGCTTTCTGGCAGGGGGTCCCTGAGGGTGTGGGAGCACTCCAGGCTTGACTGGCCAGGATTGGCACCTTTTAATCCTTATTTTGCCCTTCACTTGGGAGAGTTGCCCCAGAATGGCCAAGCATCACCAGGTCAGCTTGGGTGTGCCCTGAGCAGCCCCTGGAAGCCTGGGAAGCACAGAGGCACCAGGACAAGCTCAGGCATTAAAACCTTCCTGCAGGAGGAGGTTCCCTGCAGTGGGGTTATCGTGGTGCTCATGGGGAGCTTTGGTTTGGGGCATTTCCATATTAATTTCCTGCCTCTTCGTATTTTAATCACAGAGATTCCCAGACTGGTTTGTGTTGGGAGGGATCTTAAAGCTCATCTTGTCCAACCCTCATCGTGGGTGTTTCAGTACTCCAGCTCCTCAAGCTTATTCCCATTCCCAGTGGTTCCAGTCTCCTCATCTGACAATAATCCAGCTTCTTGGGGTTTGTTAGGCAGGATTTGTGCAAAAGGCTGATGGTGCTATTTGTTTGTATGAAGAAACTTAGATTCAAGTGCTGTGGTGTCATTGTACAAAAATGTAAATATTTTCCAAATTATATTCTTTGTGCACTGTAGGTAAAACTTTTTCTGGAATTCCATAGAGTTAAGGATCAAAGTTTATAATGAAGAGGATCATCGATGCTTAGTGGAGTGAACAGCTGTGCTGCCCACGAGGGATCAAGGGAGGGGCTCAGCACGAGGCAAGGTGTCAGGCACACCTGTGATTCCAAACTGTTGGAATCTGATCCATCCCAAAGAGGCTGCTCTGGGGAAGAACAGGGAGGAGTCCCAGGGAATCACTGTCAGCAAAGCCCATGTGCACTGGAGTGGGAGGGTGGGGTTGGTCCTCTCCCAGCTCTGCTGTAGACCTGCAGGGAACAGGGAGCACTGGGGCAGGGGAGAAGTGCAGCTTTGCAGCCTGGCATAGATACACTGGAGTTGTTAATTCAGATTCAAATCCCAAATAAAACTGTAGGGAAACAAGCAAAGGGACATGGCTCCTGCAGTGCTGTGTAGGGCAGGTGTGGAACATCCACTGGGAATGATGGAACTTGATCTCCAAAGTAATGATGAATTCCTGAAGTGTTTCACACCTCACCCACCTCCTGCTGCTCCTCAGGGCCAGCCAGGATCCTGGGATGAGTGTTGGTGGGGCCTGGCTGCCCTGGCCCCTCGCAGTGCCCGTTCAGGGCAGAATGTTTTGTGCAGCTGCAGGACCTGTGCCAGGAGCTGAAGCAGGTGCCAAACAGTCCCCTTGGGAATTCCAGCACAGGCAGGAAGTTTCCCTGAAGGTGAATGTTAGAAGTCCCTTTCCTCAGCATTAGAGGGAGGGATCCACAGGTTTGTATTACTTTGCTTTTCTGGTTATCCCAAATTCTTCCATGGCTCCATGGAAGGTGCATCACTGGGGCTGTGGGTCTTGGGCATTGCAGCCACTGCCAGGGATGGGGGCTGGGCTGGGAGAAAAACAGAAAAAGGGGTTTATGTGGCCTAATGTGAGACTGAGGGTCCTGTGGCTCCATCTGCCCCTGGAACAGCCCCTGGTGATGACTGGCCACCAGGTCTCTGCTCAAAGCCCCCGGCAGGTCTGGGGGTGTTTCCTATGGTTCCTGTGGGCTCTGGCTGCAGGTTTGCGGGATTGAACCCCCTGGGGACACAGCTGCTCCCCTGGACACCGGTGGGGTTTGCAGGAAGGTTTTGCAGCGAGTTGCTGTTGAGGCTTGTTCTGAGTTGGATTGTGGGAACAGCTTTGAGTGGCTGCCCTTGTTCTGTATTATCCCAATGAACACACTTGGCTGCTCCTCCTCCCTCCCCTCCCTCCCTGTGGAGCTGAGGGATGGGACTCCCCCTGGGTTGGCCCTTCAGCTCCAGTTCTGGGGGCTCCCAGAGCTGCTCTTGGTACATTTTCCCCTGGCCCTTGGGGCTGTGTTTGCTGTCTGAAACATTCCTAGGGATGAGTTCTCACACTTAGGGACACCTGGGGCACAATTTCCCAATGGATACACTGCAGGAATCCTCAGTGAGAGGGACATTGGGCTGAGCCCCTCCTGGGGACAGGCAGTGGCTGTGCCACTGTGGTTCCCCAGGAATTATCCACCCTGATACCTGTTTTCTTCCCTGAAGTTGGTTTTTCTCACTGGGATTATGTTGCACAGACACTCGGTGTGTTTGTGGGCTGGGAATGTCTCCCAGGAGCTCCAGCAGTGCCTGGGGAGGTGTTTCCCGTCCAGAGGGAACCTCAGCCCCAGGCGGGGGTGGGCATAGGGTCCCTCCCCCTTCCTATTTCCTGGTCCCATGTCTCTGGGAAATTCATTTTTCTGGCAGGATTGATCCTTCAGCTTGGCTTTTCCCCTTTTCCTCGAGGCCAGGCCAGGTGTTGGGAAGGTTTGGTCCCTGGGACCAATGCTGTGCTCTGTGGAGCGAGCACAGATTCACCATCCTTGTACAGAGTTGTGTCTGTGGCAGCTCAAGCTCATCCCTGGGGCAGGAGGGACCTCCCTGCAGAGCCCCCATGGCTTGGATATGGCTGGGGGACCAGGAACACCCCCTGGACCTGCCAGCTGGCGGTGGGTGTCCAGGTGGGATGGAAAAGGGAGTGGGCACGGCCTGGGTGGGAATGGCTGTGTCCTGCTGCACTCGGACACTGCAGGGGCAGGTGGGGAGGACAAACAGCCTGGAGCCTGCCCGGGGCTGTGCTCCCATCCCACCACAGCTTTCCTGAGGTTTTCATGGTTACTAAAAGACAACAACAAATTTTGCTAAACCAAATTCAGAAATGGTTGCGGGAGAATCCCATGGGTTGTTTCTGAACCCAACTATTCCACTGGTCTTCCAACCTCCTGCTCTCACCTGTGGCACAGGGAAGGTGTTGGTTTTTCCCTCCAGGAGCTGCTGTCCAGCCACTGCACTCACCTCCCTGCGATTCCATTGTTACACAAACCTCCAGGCGTGTTTGTGCTGGAATCCCACCATGTTATGTTGATATTCCCACCCACCCTCTGTTCTTTTCATGTCTATTTCTGAGTTGTAATTCCCGCCAAGAGAACTGCGTTATTTAATCCGGATTAACCAATTCCTGTAATGCTGCAGTTTCACTCTTTATTTTCCTGACAGTTTGTAACTCCCATGGAAACAAGTCACTTCTCTTGCGTTTTACTGTCGTCTGGTCCCTGTTTTTATCTTCCCTTCACTAATAGTCAGTTTTGGTTGTATCATTTGTTAGAATAAAGACCAAAATATGCTGTTTGATTCTGAAACTGCTCCACCTGTGCAATCCAGGCTTCTCTCTCCGGGACAGCTCTGCTGTGGCTGTGTCTGGGAGCAGGATTGGAGGGGAGGGACAAGCTCACGCTGCTGAGTCCTGCAAGGGCATTTTCTTGGTCATTTTTTAAATAAAATCCTGCATTTTCATTACAGCCTGTGCTTGGCCCTCTGTGAATCCTAAGTTTTGGGGGGAGAAGGAAACAAAGAGCAGCTTCTGGCACTTGCCTGGAGCTGACAGATCCAAGGTTGGGAGCAGCTGCCTGGAAAGGGGGGGAAGGAGACCCGAGTTTGCTGAACTGTGTTCAGTAAGTACAGAGGTTTTACCTCCCAAATCCAGCAATGGGCTCACTTCGATCACAAGCTGGGCTCTGCTCTGACTTGGAGAGCAAAACCTGGAGTGTCTATAGAGGTTTTTATCTTCCAGAAGGTTGTGTGGTTTTGGGGTGGGTTTTTTTGGTTGTTTTGGGAGGGTTTATTTGGTTTTTTTGGGGGGTTTGCTGGAATCATTGGTGATCTGAGTGACAGCTGGAACTTGAGGCTACTAAATTTTGGGTTGCCATTACCTGCACAAAGCACTTGTGGCTTCCAACCTTCCTCAGAGGTGAGTGGTCATGGTTGCATGGAAATATAAACCAGTTTTGCAAATACTTTTCTTTTAAAAATACTTACAGAATCCCAAACTTCCACAATTCCCTACCCTAAACCTAACCCTGCCTTCTGGCAGTGGGAAGCCATCCCCCATTGTCCTGTCCTTGCAGGCCCTTGCCCCAAGTCCCTCTCCAACTCTCTTGGAGCCCCTTTTGGCACTGGAAGGGCACTAAGGTCTCCCTGGAGCCTTCTCCAGGTGAACCCCCCCAGCTATCCCAGCCTGACTCCATGGTAGGGGGGCTCCAGCTGTGGGAGCATCTCCCTGGCCTCCTCTGGACTCGCTCCAGCAGTTCCACATCCTTCTGCTGTTGTTCCCCGGGGCTTCAGGCAGCTCTGCGTGGGGGGTCTCACCTGAGGGGGCAGAATCCCCCCCCTCTCCTGCTGCCCAGGCTGTGGCATCTGCCCAGGGCACGGGGAGTTTGGGGCTGGGTCACATCCAGCCTCTCCCCCACAGCCCCCTCCCCCACCATGTCCTTCTCTGCAGTCCCATAAAACCTCCGGATCCTTATTTAAAGCCATTTCCCCCAAAGAATAAAAACTCATTCTTCAGTGTAACATATTCAACCAGGTTTTAAAGAGAATAAATTGTCAGGTCCTTTTAAAAGAGGTAGATGGAATAAAAGTCCCCTCTAAGAAATGAGGTAAAGTTTGGTGGCAGAAATAAATACCAGGAGTTTTCTAAGAACAGGAGTTTAAGTTTCAGGGTTTTATTATCAAAGTTTTGTAAAACAATTTCCGAAACTGTACATCGACATGGCACAGACTGTCGCCTACTTTTGTCTCTTTACCTGCACAAAAGTAAAAGCTCTGGAGCTGCTGGAACTAAGGAACAGCTTGGCTAACTACTCTGCATATTCCATGGGGTCATTGTGTGCGGGAGGGACGGGACACTGCGGGACAGGAACACAAACTCATTAGTTTATACAACTTGAGATCAAGTAAAAAGTACATTATCAGGTGGACTTGCTTTAAAAGCAAACCAAGGTCAGTTTAAAATGCACTCCCTGCTGCAGAGGGTGAGCTCCTGAGCAACCACACCTGGGATGAACTTCCACCAACCCTCCATCACTGGGCATGGGGCAGGGATTCCCTTCCTGAGGGGAGATCCATCCCAGCTCGCCCCAGATGGAACTGAACAGACTGGGAGCCCTCAGGAAGGTCAGTGCATTTTAACTCTGGCCAAGCCAACAAACCCCACCAGGAAAACCAAACCAACCCCAGCACGTGGCTTAAAAATAAAACTAAACCCAAGAGGACAAAAAGCTGGTGGGATCAAAGGCTGACCCTGGTGTGAGGTCAGGTGTCAGGCTCAGGGGCTGCCCCAGGTGTGTGTTGGTGCCACACTCCCCAAGCAGCCGGAGCATCCCTGCCCTGCTCCCGGGACACTACAGGGGGGTCACACACAGCCCATGCTGCGGGGGGGTCATGCAGCCTCGGCCCCAGCGAGTCCCCCCCGCCCGGAGCACGGGGGTCCCTCTATCAAGCTTTGGGTGTGAGTTAGTACAGGATGGACAGACCATGGAGAGCTCGGAGCTGGATACATCTAGGATTGAGGATTAACAAGTACAGATAAAAGAATCACACGGGTGGCCAGGGGGCTCAGTCGCTCATGTCCATGTCCTCCTCGTGGTGGTCGTCCCCGTTCACTTTGGATTCCCTGCCCAGGTCCCCACTGCCCTTCTCGGCCCCGGGCTCCTTCCCCTTAGGGGAAGAGGCCTCTGCCAGTTTCTTCTCCTCCTTCTTGTCCTTCTCGCTGTCATAGCCCTGCTCCTCCTCATCGTAGTCCCTTGTGACCTGCTTTGCCAGGGAAAGGGACACGTTAGCACAGCCCTGGGGTGCCGGAGTGGGGGCACATGAGGGGTGTGGGCAGGGGGAGCTCCAGGGGTTTATTAAACATACTTTCACATCCTTGTCGCTCTCGGATTTCCGGTCTCGATCCTTCTCCTTGTCTTTGCTTTTCTTTTTCTTGCTTGTTGACCGCTCCCTCTCATCTCTGCTCCTCTCCTTGTCCTTATCCTTCTTCTTTTCCTTTTTATGCCTGTGATGACACAGCAGAAGGATGAAACCCACTCTCACCCCAGGACTGGAACACATCCAGAGTGTCACCAACAGCTCGCTACAAACCCAAGGGAAAATGGCAGCAAGCAACTTCGGGAACACCCTGCACATTCAGAAAACTCCCCAGAATCCCAACTTCTTAGCTCCAGATGCAGCACAACAACCACAAAGCTAAGGCTAAGAACATGGAACATCCCGAGTTGGAAAGGACCCACAAGGATCATGGAGTCCAACTCCTGGAGAGTAAGAATAGCAATGTGCCAGCATTTTACAAAGGAGCATCGTGAGTTCCCCATTCTGGGAGAGGGTCACAAACACCCAGGGCCACCCCAAATCAGTTGATTCCTACTGTAATGAGTCAAAGGGAATGGGATTTTTTCCGTCTCCTACTCCCACCACCCCTGGAACAGCTCACCCTTGGCATTCCCAGGCAACAAAACAGCAGCTCCAGCTTGGAGCTGGTCAAATGATGCTAAAAGGGGTAAGAGGCAGCAGAGATCCACCCAAACACACTCCATCCTCAACAAGACACACCAGGATTTTCCCTATAGGTCACATTTTGGGAATTTTCCATCTAGAGTCATTTTTTTTAGCTACTCCCTGACCTTCTTGGAGATGGGGACCGGGACATTTTCCGTTTGGGAGACCTGGGCTTTTTGGGTGACCGTGTTCCACTCCGGCTCCTCCTGCGCCGTCTTTCTCTGTAGCAAAGACACAGATGCTTTTTAATAATTTATTATTAAAGCTACAAATACATGTCCTTGTCCAAACCCAGCTGAGCTCAAAGGGTATTAAATAGTTGCTGAAATTGCAAGTTAAACTTGGAGGATTTTTGAAACAGTAACACACCTTTTGCATATATTTATTCCCTAAATCAGGAGGAGTTTGGCAGTGACCTCAGTGTCACCCTCTGATAAAAAGCAAGGAGAAACTGTTAAAGCCCAAAGCATTTACCTCAAAAATAACAGTTTCAGGGGAAGAATAGAGTCCAGGTGCTTTTGTGCCTGTACCAGTTATATCCATAGAAGAATCATCACTCAATGGAATCCTGGAGTACTTTGGCTTGGGAAGGACCTCAAAGCCCATCTCATTCCACCCTCTGCCATGGGCAGGGACACCTTCCACTAGACCTGTTGCTCAACTACAAAAACATTCTTCCTATTTAATATTAAAGTGGATCAAAATCATGCTGGAAACAGAGACCAAGGAAAATCCCCTGTTCACATACCTGCTTGTGCTTCTGGATCGTCTGGTTGTGCTGTAGCTTTTGGGGGGAGTTTTAGAACGTTTCTTTTCTTTCTCTTCCTTCTTTTTATCCCTTTTAGTAAAAGAGAGATTGCCAGATTAAGTAATTTTCAAACCATTTAAGCAGTAGTTCCTGATTTTCTATATAGGGAAAAGAAAGCAGAGCTGGTAATGACAGGGTGGCACAATCTGGTCAGGATTTCTGAGGCCAGGCACATTATAATAATGGAAATAAACTATCTGAAGAAAAAATAAAAGCACAACTGTTACAGTTTCTCTGTACCAACAGCCCCAAATCTGCAACTCCAGGTGCTCACATTTTCTGCTTTCCAAGGCAACTACTGAGTGATGTTACAAGAAACAGTTACTTTAAAAAGAGCCACTACTTCATTGTGTCCTGGGTTCATTTTTTTGTTTAAATCAAGCACCAAAATGTGGTAATTTAATTTCTAGCAAATAGTCTATCACAGAGTCATAGAATCATTTAGATTGGAAAAGCCCTCCCAGACCATCAAGTCCAGCCCGAGCCTGATCCCCACCTTGTCACCCAGCCCAGAGCACTGAGTCCAGTCGTTCCTTGGACACCTCCAGGGATAAGGACTCCAGCACCTCCCTGGGCAGCCCCTTCCAATGCCTGAACACCCTTTCCATGAGGAAATTCCTCCTGATGTCCAACCTGACCCTCCCCGGCACAACTTGAGGCTGTTTCTTCTTGTCCTGTCCCTTGTTCCGTGGGAGTAGAGCCCGACCCTCACCTGGCTGCACCCTCCTGTCAGGGAGTTGCAGAGTGAGGTCTCCCCTGAGCCTCCTTTTCTCCAGGCTGAGTCCCCCCAGCTCCCTCAGCTGCTCCTGGTGCTCCAGACCCTTCCCCAGCTCTGCTCCCTTCTCTGGACACGCTCCAGCCCAGAGAAGGCTGAGCCGAAGGGCTGAACTGAAAGGCCCGGAACTGCCCCCACACTGGAGTCGCCTCAGCCGTGCCCAGCACACAGAGATGGGCACTGCCCTGGTCAGGGTGATTTCCTGAAGCCATTACCTGGTTTTGGATGTGCTCCTGGACCTCCTGCTTCTCTCTCTGGAATGAGATCTCCTTCGCCTGGGGCTTTTGGATCGCCTCCTGCTTCTGGATTTGGAATGGGACCTTCTCCTTGATCTGCTTCTGGACCGTCTGTCAGGAACACACAACACAGGGTCAGACACACAA